TATTCAAATAACCAGTTCAGTTTTTTCTATTATGTCGCTAAGATCAAAAAATATTATTCGTATTTCATCAGTATTTAATTTGTATTTAAATATAATTTTCAAAACACACGAATTAAAAAAACGAGCGAAAAATATCGAGCAAAGCTCGGTCAACCGGGTACTCAAATTTTATTTATGTACTATTAATATTTAATCATTTAAAAGTAATATTTTGCTTACATACATAGTATTTAGTTTAAATTCATATTAAATGTCAGTACCTGATTAAGAGTTCTGACAGTTCACCCTTGGTTAACTATGAATATGCCCCCCCATCCCACACCGGCCTGTTCTCTCAGTGTTTGGCCATAAAATCTAGTAATATTCGTGATATATTCACTAAATTTCATATTTTACTAGGTTTCCACACTGCCATTCACCCACATTAAATCAAATGTTCCCAACTGCAACACCAGGGAAATTGTAGGTGCGCGACTTTTATAAAAGGAGTCACATCCTTTCGAAAAAAATATCGATAGTAGATGATGCCACAAAGAAGCCTTGTTAGGAAAAACTTCTAGTAAATCGCACAGTCATGGTGGACCACCAAGCATTCAGATGGTATAGATGGTAAGCTAAGTTAAGACCGTGAGTTTTGTCCTGACGTGCGTGGGTGGTATTTTGCGGCCGTAATATTAATCCGAATAATTTGTCTAAGCACTCCCCATAGAAAATGCGATAGAAAATGCAATAGGACACAACATCTCTTCGCAGCGCGAGTAAATCGAGCCGATCAGAATGAACTCGGTCGTAGACCATTCGAGCCACTCTTCACTGGATGCGACTGGATGGATGCGTGCAAGAAGCGGGCACTAGGGTACCCCGGTCCAGAGATGAGAACAGTAGTCAATGTGAGTGCGAATTTGCGCCTTGTAATGTTGCTAACGGTGTGCCGACATGAAATTCTGTCCCGCTCTGCTCTACACGCCCATCTTTTTAGAGGCCAATTTAGCCTTCCCTTCAAAGTTTTTAATTAAGTGATTTTGTTTACTAATGACTCGACTTCAGACACAAGTTTGTTCCGACACTTGATGAGGTGTTCCCGAGAATATTAACACGGCCGGTGTAAAAAGTATCACATGTGTTAAAACCAGTAACAGCAACATGTAATCGATATAAAGAAGAAACAGCTTAGGTGATAGCACGCAGCCTTGTCTGCAAGAATGCCCGATCTGCAAGAAAACTGATGATCCAATAGCACATTTTTTCGGGAAGCCCATAGGAAGGAAGCTTCTAAAGAAGCGCTTTGTGCCAAAGTCCATCGAAGACATTTGCTATGTCCAAATTAACGACCAAGGCCTCCTTCTTGGACTCTTCTGCTTATCTAAGAGTCAGGTAAATTAGAACTAAAGAGACTTTTTACGCGGTAGAGCCATGCTGCAGTTATATTAGTAGTATAGTTGTAGCACGAATGGCTCGACCGGGAAAGGACCACGCTCTCACAGAATACCAGCGTCAAATAGTAGCTTAATGCTGCTGTTTCGTATGGTGAGTGTAGAGAACCGGAGACCCTTTTTACTGGAAACAAGGCATTCCACCACTCACGGATGACAATTGATGATTCGTAATCGAGGGTAGATGTAGATGTCTATGGGCCACAGCAACCACTTACCATCAGGTGGACTGTGTGCTCGTCTGTCATCCTATCCCACAAAAAAAAAGAACCAGCTGATTAGTGACCACCAATGGGGTGGTCCTCAAGGTACGAGTTATGAACTGGCAGTTTATAACGGATTCCAATAGTATGGATAAAAGGGAGGCGATGGTAATAAGCCTGTAGTTCGACGGATCTGAACGGTCGCCTTTTTAGGAACTGGGCGCACTAAATCTGTCTTGGATAAGTTCAGAATTACACGTAATGAGTAGGAGTACCCTCCTCAGCACAATAGAAGGGACATTAGGCCCACTCGGCTGTTGACGCCCAGAGAGAGGAGTGGTTTGCACACTGAGCTGTGTAAACCGCACATCCAGGATGGAGCAATCACACCGCGGGATGGTCGGCGGTGCGTATCTTTCGTATCAAGAGTTGAGTTGGACTAAAAAGAGAACCGAAAAGATCGACTTTCTCGTTGTGAGTGAGTGAGTCGTTGTCCCTGTGCAGTGTGTGTGTGTATAGAAACGATGACTGACAGAAGTTCCCTGGGACAGCCTTGGCAAAACACCTTTAGAAAATTAGAGGTAGAGAAGAGAGCTTGAGCAGTTTAAACTTTTTGAATCACATCCAGTCAGTCAACGAAAGACAAGAAGTACCAAATAGGTAATTCAGTCTTATTTTTTACAATCTATTTATTTGTTTTGTTCCTACCAAAAAAGAGTTTCTTACACCACATATTTGTAATAAAAATAAAGAAGTCATAGTCTATTATTTATTGAGAATATTATACCAAATTTTATTCTGTACATAAGTAGTGCTTGCAAAGGCAAGCTCAGCGCCCCCTCGATCCTTGCACCCTAGACTCCAGCATAATTAGTCTATGGGTAAATCAGGCCTTGTTAATTGTAAAAACAATACGTCATTTTCGCTAGAAGCTCCATAAGGTGAAATTAGTACGACCTCTAGTCTAAACGCATAGGCTAATAATTTGTCGTAAGTTAAATTGAGCAGTTTTTAATGTCAATATGCTTTGAATTAGGATATTACAGTTTTTTTTATATTTCTATACATGTATATACGCTTATGTAGGCATGACTGATGACATGACTCGGGACACATTATTCATGAATTTTGTTCTAGACCCGCCGTCCATTTAGTAGTAGGTAGGTCAATGAATAATTCTGAATTATCCAATTATCTTAAGGATTGAGGAAATTAAACAAAGTGCATTTGTTGTATATATAAAATTTAATAATCGAGTCAAAGTTTAACTCACCGTATCACTAGTAACAATAAAATGTACAATACACAGTATCATTCATATCCAGTGATATTAACCGCGTAAATACTTACACCATAAACGCCTCGCTTCGTCGTATAACCAAGATTAACATACAAACGTATTAAGTTACATCATAAAATAACATTAGTGTTCAAATTCATATAATAACTAATTACAATATAGGAATTTAAAAAAACATTTTTAATCTGTGGAAGCCAAAATTGATAAAATTTTACATAATCACTAGTATTTCGAAATGATTGTTAATTATTCTAAAATACATGTTAAAATGCATATTAAATATTAGTTTTAAAATATTATATGAACATTAAACTAAGATTCTACTGATAGCCTAGATGTGGTAAAGCATTTATTAAAAAAATTCTAGAACAATCGAATGCCATTCTCCATTCATACCTACAATCTCAAATCATGATATGAAATATCAATCGTGACGAATCTTTGTCTGTCATTAACGATATCAAGAGATTCTTTGCAGTCGATTTCTAAAGGTAATTTTAATTAATCAATTAAAATGTTACTTTTAGCACCACTAATTTACTCGGTGTGGATTGCGACAAATATAATTACAATAGGTGGGATTTAGAACTAGTTTTTCATTTTATATTTCAACGTCCTGATCCGTTCAGTTTAATGAACTATATCTTTTTTAGTATACCGAAAAGTATTACAGCAACTGTTATATATTAAGTATATTGTGCGATATGGTGACTAGACATTTATATTTAAAGAGAAAACTTAAACGATTTTTTTTAAATGACTAACATTGACTGTATTCGCATTAAATATACGTTTTAGAAAACAGAAATAATTTAAAATTAGTAAAAGTATTTATTTTGATTTCCATTTCCAGAAAATATACGCGCTTGAATAATTTTTAACATGCCATAACAAAACGCAGAACTCGTGAATGTTCCGAATTAGTTCATCAGAACGGATCAGTTCGAAACTTTACAAATTAATAAGTGCCTAAAATGAAATGTTTATATTGCTTTTTTTACTAAATAATTTCCTTTAAGTGAAGTTTTAATCATTTCAGCATTAAGTAAAACTACCGAATGCATAGCTTTCTCTATGGGAAAACTTTTTGTCGTTATATTACAAAATACCTTTAGTTTATTAGAATATCCCTGTGTACCGGTACACATACGCATTTCTAAACTTAATAAACTAAGCGTACACAAGACATTAATGATGACAAATTATATAAAAAGAGATCAAACACTGAGTAAGCAACTGACACCGTTTAGCTTTTCTTAAGACAAATTTTAAGTATGAACAGCTCGACACCGGGGACTTTAACATGTTTCGATACCTAGTAAGGTTTAGGTCTAAGGTCTGTCTGGCAGGTGGATAAATATTATGACAATGGCTGTTGCCTTGTGGGCGCCGGGGAGCGGGGTTTTTTTTTTTTTTTGGGCGTTTTATAAAATTTTTTTTTTTGTTATAGCTTGACAGATAGTATTTATCATCAAAATATTTTATCTGGTTTCTAACTATTTCACAGAGAAAATTAATTCTTAAGAACAAGTTAACTTGTTATGAAAGATTTTGTTATGGTACTGTGATTATAAATAGGGTGTGGATAGTTAAATTAACAATAACGGTCCCCACTGTTTTGCTTTGACGTAGCACATTCGTGTTAACAACAATGATTTTTCTTTTTATAAATATAATAATATATCATTGATTGACACGTTAAGTCTCTAAAAAATTTTAGAATTAAATTAAACAGTGGGCACTTTTATTAATTAAGCAGGACTGTCCAAGCCGTGACCCATGTTACTTAAAGCCCGCGATTGATATTTATGCGGGTTTGTAAAGTGAGAGTTCCATCGCAACAATAACGAATTAAAAAAGTTATTCAATTGTTTTCAGACAAGGAATATTGACAGAATCGTTAAAATATAACGAAGAAATGTTAAAATGCATAAGTAATATCGCTATTTTTTTTAATAGAAGTGTGATTCTATTTAATATCAAGGGTACACAAAACAGTCTGAAGTTGTCCGTAAACATCTACGACATGGACAGCCCTGTTCTGCTATATAAGTGGGAGAGCCGTTAAAAGTGGTCGACTTTGACGGCGACGGTGTTCAAGGTGGTGGTGGCGGGCAGGTGTATCTGGTCCCAGTCGGTGCTGAGGTGCGCCTCGGTGTCGGTGGCCTTGATGGTGAGCCCCAGCGACGGCACGGCGTTGGCGCAGTGCGGCAGCCGCAGCGTCACAGGCCGCAGGAACACCAGCCCCTGCGGCCCACACATCACCAGCGGCGACAGCATCGCCTCACCTGCACACCCACAAGCACACACACACACACACCTATTAATATTTTATTTGAACTGTATCAACTCGACCACAACCCGTTTTACGTATTTATGTAAAATCAAAGGTAACATATTTTTGTTTACTTTCATAATAATGTTTCCTCTCCCAAGACTCTATACTTTTCGGTAAATAATAAAAAATAAGCGTAAGAGAATTTATGCAACAACCTTCAGTTTATTGATCGTAAGTTACAAAAAAAATTATTTAAAAAATATTTAATTACAAAAAATGCCTTTCTTATAGAATAAGGGTGACAAGCTAGCACACATCCCACCTGATGGTAAGTGGATGCTGTAGCACATAGACATCTACATCTATCCTCGATTAAGAATCTAAATGCAAATGCGTTGTCACACCTATCACAGAATCATTCAAACCTGAGGACTAAGATGGAATGCCTCGTATCCAGTAAAAAGGGTCTCCGGTTTTTTACGCTCACCATACAAAACGACTACAGCATTGAACTGCAATTTTACTCCGGTATTCTGTGATTATTGGCTCTTCTAAAATACTATCATAGTTATAGTGTAGCATTAAAACAATGTACTTAAAAAGTAATACTCTACCTCTTTTAAAATGCTATCGTAGTGTAACACTAAAACAATATGTACTTAAATAAAAAAACCTATAATATATCGATTTCAAAAATAATAATTAAAATTGTAGTAACATATTGTGCAAAGACAAACGAATTCATCCATTACTTAGCTACTAGCTAATTCATTGATTAAAATTATTGAAACATATTGTGCGAATAAGAAATAGTTAATTCAAATGACATATTTAGAACTGCGTACAGAAAGAGCCCAGTGTAATAAAAAGGGCCAGATTTGCAAAAAAATTAAAAGTAGGGAACAACGTCAACATAATCACACAAACACAAATCGCAACACATTAAAGCAGGTTATAAGAGCAAGGCAGGCAGATGGAAATGCAGCCGACAATGAAACTAAAAATGAGCATAAATATTGAGTTATATATATATATATATTATATATATATATATATATATAATAAAAACCCTATATGCTTTTTGCCTATTACCTTTTACTAAGAATTTGCAAAATTTTATGTAATATTAACGAAAATAAGCAAAGAAAAACTGAAAGACCCTGACTCGATTTGATAGACATTGCAAAACTGATCGCACAAAAACAGTGAAATATTCATTTATTTGCACATTTACATTTATAGTGCACAAACACATCAAACATTTGATCAAACATACGGGTCATACTGTTGTTGGGTGCAGGTAGCACAATCGACGTCTCCGCTCCTCAATCTCTAAGTACGAGTGTATTGCGTGGCAGAAACTGCGTAAATATAAAAATACAAAAATATGATGTTAAACCCCAGTTAGCAATAAATATATAAATTAATTAATATTAAATAATTTTCGTGTTGATTTAAGTTGGGTTATGTGTGTGTATACATAATTAAAATATATGTTATAAAAATATTTAACAAATAAATAGATCTGAAAAACCATAACATCTACATGCAGTAACTCATGCAATACTTAAATACTTTTATACAGAGCACTACTTTTGAAATCCAAACTATTTAAAGCGATATTGTTGAAGGAAATCATTCAGGAAAACAGTCACAATCCCAATTCTTGTTCATTTCCCATTATCTGATTGTCCATTCCATTCAGTGAATTAATAGCCAATTAGAAAGTGCTGTCTAAGATACTACAATCAATGCGTGCTTTGTTACAAAAGCATTTACCGTTATCCATATCGATGGGAGGTCCACCAACGCGCTGGCTCAGTCGCGGATCTGACACCGTAAAGTAGATTTTTTGCTTGATACCCGGAGCGATTGCTTTTGGCGGTATAATAAGGGACACGCCCCATTGTCTATCTTCTAGAACACCTCCCTCGCTATCAAAAATACCCCAAGTTGTGTGAGGGCCATCTGGTTCAACCTCAGTCGTTTTATTTCCACTCTCATTTCCGTCCGAAATTGACGTTTGAATTACTGTATTCTCGTTATTGATGATCGTTGTTTCATTACGACTCGTAGACATATTTTCAGACGTATCTTGACTATTCTCTGGGCTTTTCTCAATAATTCTCTCGCAAAACTTAACAGTCCTGTTCGACTTTGATGATTTGTCCTGCAAATCTTGCGAGGCATACGGAGTGCTTTGAGGCTTATTTTCAAAATTCATACTGCACTCAGAAGCGTACTGTGTCTCCATGGATGTGGTAGATTCATACGGAATTGGAGAAGAGGTGGCTTTCAAAGCACTGGAAATATGTTCGTCTTTGCCGTGCAGTCTAGGGGCGTAAATAGGTTCACCTTTTAAAACATTACTTTCTGCTTTAGATTTTTCTTTTTCCGCATCAGTTTTTGACTCGGTTAATCTTAACTTTGAAAAGTCAATTTCTTGAAACGTATCTGTCTCTTTAGCAATTTGTGCCTCGGCTTTTGTTTGGTATAATGGTTCTCGGCGGGACAAATGATTTGCATCACTTAATTCATATGGACTACTTCTAGCACTGCTACCTTGAGAAATTTCAGAAGGCAAAATTTCTTTTGCTTCATTATGTGATTCGTATATAACAGTGTCTTTTAATTCTCTTTTAGATACATACAATGGTTCTCTTACTTTTATAGTGTCACTTTCATTTGCCTCTTTTCGAGTCTGATAAATCATGTCTTTCTTTGCTTGGTTTCTTTGTTTTATTATTTCTAGTTTCTCTTCTAATTTAGCACCATAAGTGGATTCCTTGCTAGCCAGGAAAGCTGCTTTTTGTGTTAATATCTCCTGTTTTGAAACGTATGTACATTCTGCTGAAGCTGGCCTTATGTCTTGCCTGATATCACACATTTCTTGCCGACTTCTACAATTGCTATCAGAGGAACTTGATTTAATTTCGGATCGTAATGTATAAGGTGAATCTGTCTGACTAATTCTTGCCATCATCTCTGTTCTAGTGGCATATGGAGGCTCACTCATACATTTACTCACAGGTGATATGCGACCCGGAAAGTTTATCGGCGTTTGTAATATTCTATCTGGTCTATTGCTATAAGAACTTTCAGACCAAGACGTATTCGACGGTGGTTCGTATGTTCTCTTACTGTAGAACGATTCTTTACTTTCTATTCTTTGCTTTAGCATTTCTTCTTTCGTATTGTAAGGAGATTCTGAAAACCTCTGTCGGAGCATCTCTTCTTTAGTAGAATAAGGGTTCTCAGACATTATTCTAGACCTTAACATTTGTTCTTTACTTGAATATGGAGATTCACTGTAAAACGAATCAGACTGTTTTATAACGTCTTGTTTGGTTACGTATGGACTTTCTATGGTATCATTTATTGTTGTATAAGGATTATCTCGAATGCATTCAGTTCTAGAGGCATATGGTGGATCTATAAGAGGCATTGCTATAGTATCACGATTTCCATAAGGATTCTCAAAACTTTGATTGGAAACTTCTGATCTACTGGCGTAAGCGTTTTCACTTGAGGTATCATATAGAGAAGTGTAAGTCCTTCTCGGCTTAGGTATAGGGTCATATACTATATGTTCTTTGCTTTGGTAAAGTGGTTCTGGAGGTAGTGATTGAGAGGGGTAAAATGGTTCATGTTTTGTTTGTTGATGTCTTTGGTAAATGGGATCTATTTTGGTAATCATATTATAGTTGGACGTTTGTCCATAAATTCCTCTCCTATTATACTCTATGAGGGAATTTTGTCTGCGTAACAATGGGGTAACTTTGGGTTCGGTTTCAATTTCACACATCGAATTCTGCCTTCGCAGATTCTTCCACACAGGTTTAGCTTCGTAATCTCTTACCGTACATATAGAGCCGTTTCTATCGTCACAGAACGAGCTCTGCCTTTTAAGAATCGGTTTCAGAACAGGTTTTTCACATGAGGACGAATTGCCCGTGTGCAACATTTGATTTCTAATCTGTGTGTTCCTCATGTGTATGCTCATATCGCTGAGATCAGATTTCTCACGTCTAAGTATCGGCATTTGAGGCATCTGTCTCTGCTGCAAGTCACTTTCGCACAGTGACTTCTGACGAGACACCTTTCTCGAAGATTTCGTCTTCGAGCGGAACAGATCAAGGACAGCGTTCTTTATGAACGACGGCTTTTTAGATAATTTCTTTTTAGTTTTGGGCGAAAATGTTCCGTCGGGCTCTGCACTCGAGTTCATCGCATCGGACGAGCTGTGGAAACCCACAACCAATACCCACTTAGTTATTCAATGATGAATATTATGACACATCAGATAATTCAATATACGATACATTATTGATGAAATATTAGAATATCAAAATGCAACCATATTGAAGGCTCTGAAATGTTTCGACGTAAATTAAAATTTTTAAAAGATGAATTGAATGATTTAAAAAAAAGCATATTGAAATAAATGTCAGACAAATAAATGAAAGAGAGAGAGATTGTGTAACGTTATAATAAAAATATACCTAGGTTTCGGAAGTAAGTTCATATCAATGTCAAGAAAAGATACTTTTTTAAGTGAATGTAAACATAAAAATATAAGTTCGTATATGCTGGAAAAGAAGAAGAGAATAAGGATAGCAATGAGAAAGAAATGGACAACTTAGTTCAATATGCTTGCAACGAAATCAACAAGTTGCACTAAGATGCAGACACATACTGCTAATAGTTGCTTTTCAAACAACTTACTGTGACGGCTTATAAATGTTACTCCAATATTACAGCTGGACAAGCTAACGCCCGATATAGATACTATGTTACAAAAATATATAGGTATGTATAACAATTTATTACCACATACAATACCATAGCTAATACTGTGGCCCGACAAGACATTGTTAGTCGTTTGTGAAGCGATTGGTGTTTGCATGTTAGAGCAAATTGTACAGGGGCTTGCCTAACGTTGGAGGGAGAACTAGAGAGCTCCTCGAAGAATGAATTTACGAACATGCATTTGTAAAGATAATGATTTAAAAAAATTGATCGATAACAAGAAAAATGCGTAATTTCATGGATAATAGCTAATTTAAGACTTAATGTGTGTGCTTAGGGTCTATTTTACCTTATATTGTGCATATGCTGAGGTTTCCTGTACAACTCGAAAGCCGATCCACGCTGTTCTCTGCTACCTGCTAGGTCTAAAGAAAGTAAGAAAAATAAAGTAAGTATATTATCAATTTAGGGCTCGAGAGTTTAAAAAAGTTAAAGCTATAGCTGCAAGCAAAGCATTGCAGAGACCAAGCCTTGCCTCATTTCTGAGAAGGCTATGGATGGATGTCCGCAGGGCAGCTCCAGTGCGTGTTGGCGGATTTCACATGTCCTTGAAAATTCTTAGACAAGTCGATGTTCTCACCACGTTTTCCTTAACAGTCGGACAACTTGTAAATCAGCATTTAAAATTGTAATTAATAATTTCATTGGTGCAGGCTCCGGGAATCGAACCCGGCTTTCTCGCGTATTGTAGTTTGTAGGAAATAATGTTTACAAATTTATTCTACATATTTATAAAAATACAAACATTTTAATCTTCACACAACGTCAATGGTGTAAAATACTGAGGGCGTAACAATTCTTAGATATTTTGTTGTAACATTTCACATTACGAATGGTTTCAGTGCTACTTTAACACTAAATTTTGAGTTTTAATCCCGTCCCGATGCCGGTACTAATGAGTCATCATCATCATCATTACAGCCCTTCACAAGTCCACTGCTGAACATAGGCCTCCCCCAAGTAATGCCACAAAGCACGGTCCTGAGCCACCTGCATCCATCGACTTCCTGCATATCTTACCAGGTCGTCACTCCATCTAGTGGGGGGTCACCCTACACTACGCCTATCGGTACGAGGCTGCCACTCGAGAACCTTTCTTCCCCATCGGTTATCGGTTCTTCGAGCTATATGGCCGGCCCATTGCCACTTCAGCTTACTAATCCGTTGGGCTATGTCGGTGACTCTGGTTTTACTGCGGATATCCTCATTTCTGAGTCTATCACGCAGAGAGACTAATGAGTAATTAATATAAATTTTACTACTGAAATAGTACCAACCGCTTAGCTTGAAGAAATCATTAAGTAATTTGGGAAAATAACGCACAATGTTATATACATGAATAACAGTTAATTTATAACTAAATGCATGTACTTGGATTCTTCTGTTTCATTTTCTTCACCAGCCCATAACTCCACTGCTGGAGATGGGTCTCTCACATTGCAAGAAGAATTTACCTTGATCTCCACTCTTAGTATGCAATTAGTTGATCACACCTTTACACTGTTCTGTAAATGATATGGTTTTATCGCCATCTCTGGAAGGCCATGAGATTTTTTAGCATTTCCTATAGACGGTTCTTACATGCATGGTTTTGGATTCGTTTTTACCTCACTTGAAATGTGCGCAGCGCTAAGTCTCTTATTGAAGGTCTGGGACTACATAGAATATAATAAAAAATAACGCTCGTTATAATTTGGCTAAGAGAGCTTACCAATGAGTTGGGGGTTATGAGGTAAGTTGATCGCCCGATGGTGCGAAGGCGGGCCCGAGTACGGCGGGGACTGAGGCGGCATCTGCCCACCGTACATCCCTTGCTGTTATAGTAAATAATAATTAGTAATAAATATCTAGATTATTTGCATATGTATTTCTGTATAGGATACATTATAATTAATACGTGCTGCAATTTGTAATGTACTAACTTAAGATAAGTAATTGCTACGCGAGATCCTTAAATATTAGTCATCATCATCATCATTACAGCCCTTCACAAGTCCAGTGTGCTGAACATAGGCCTCCCCCAAGTAATGCCACAAAGCATGGTCCTGAGCCACCTGCATCCATCGACTTCCTGCATGTCTTACCAGGTCGTCACTCTATCTAGTGGGGGGTCGCCCTACACTACGCCTACCGGTACGAGGCTGCCACTCGAGAACCTTTTTTCCCCATCGGTTATCGGTTCTTCGAGCTATGTCGACCGGCCTATTGCCACTTCAGCTTACTAATTCCGTTGGGCTATGTCGGTCACTCTGGTTCTACTGCGAATATCCTCATTTCTGAGTTTATGACGCAGAGAAACCCCGAGCATAGCCCTCTCCATAGCTCTCTGAGCGACCTTGAGCGTCCTCATACGTCCAGTAGAAAAGAACCACGTCTCAGTTCCATTCATCATCATGGCAACACGCACTGGTTATACAATTTGGTTTTCAGAATTTGAGGTATCCTGAGAGATATGTCGTAATTTCCCGAACGCTGCCCAGCCGAGTTGATTCCGTCGATTCCGTCGACCTCTCGGTCGAAGTTGGACTTACCTAGTCGGACTATTTGTCCCAAGTAAACGTACTCGTCAACAACTTCGAGCATAGTGCTCCCAACAACTACCGACAGAGGTGTGACATGGACATTAAACATGATCTTTATTTATTTATTTATTTAATTATTTATTTGGTCTACCAACGACTGTTACATTACAGAAACTTAAAGTAGTTACATTGTAATATACTATTATGAGCTAAATGCACAATCAGTTACAGGTAAACACAACGTGCTATTTTAACATGTGACATAAGTACCTTTTACATTGATATAAGGTTAATTTTAAACTAGTTATAACAGGTAAAAGATAGGTGTAATTAATCTGGGATTTTTTAACAAATGTGCACGAAACTGGTTAAGTTTAAGAGAGAAAACATCCTTGGGATCATTAATAAACCACGTATTTAATACGTTACACAGACGAGGAACTGGTGAATGTTTTCCTAAAATAGTCCTGTGGAATGGCGGATAAAATAGAGAAACGGGTTTCCTTGGAACCCTGAAGGGGGATCCTGAAATTAAAAAGGTTTAGAAGCTGAGGGCAGTCAATTTGATTATTAAAAATTTTATAAATGAATATTAGGTCCAAAAGGGTCCTTCTTTTATTCAACGAGGACATTTTAAAGTGTTTGAGGTTTTCATGAGAGGATAACTTTTTCTTTGAAACTTTGGAGGTGTGAGATAGATGCCATAAAAAGCGTTTTTGGACCCGTTCTATTCTTAATATGTGCGTGGCATAGTGTGGCCTCCATACAAAAGGGCAGTATTCAAGAAGACTACTAGTGCTTTGTACAAAGTGATACGTGTCCGTAAGTTTTTGAACACTTTACTGTTTCTAATAATAAAGCCCAGCATATTAGATGAGCGCCTAACAATGCTTTCAATATGTGGTACGAAAGTTAATTTGTTATCTAGAATTGTTCCCAGGTCCTTAATTCTATCAACTTCTTTTAATGGTTTGCCACCAATATAATATTTGGATTTAGTTTTACTATGTTTGCGTGTAAATTTAATAAAAAAGCATTTATCTACATATATTTAAATCTTAGTATTGTAATCTTAGTTTTGTCCATGTTCATCTTAAGACCTATCCGTTGGGAGACACCATTGAGGTCATTGAGCATAGTGCTTAGGCCCTCCAGCGATTCTGCCATAAGGACTATATCGTCGGCAAATCGAAGGTGAGTGATTTACTCGCCATTGATGTTAATACCCTATCATTTCCAGTTCAGTAGCTTGAAAACGTCTCCCAATGCAGCAGTGAAGAGTTTCAGGGATATATCGTCACCCTGTCTTACACCTCTCTGCAGTTGGATAGGTTTCGAACTCTGGTTCTGTACTCGGATAGCCATCGCAGCCCTACTGTACGAACACTTCAGCACTTCGATATACCGACAGTCATCTTGGTACCGCTGAAGGGACTGTAGCACCGCCCAAATTTCGACGGAATCAAAGGCTTTCTCATAGCCCACATACACCAGGCAAAGTGGGAGATTGTACTTTTCGATCTTTTGTACAATCTGCCGCAGGGTATGTATGTGGTCTATGATACTGAAGCCTTTTCGTAAACCGGCTTGTTCGGGAGGCTGGAAGTCGTCGAGTCTGCGTGAGAGACGATTCATAATGACTTTTGAAAACAGCACGTAGACGCGGCTCAAAAGGGTAATCGGTAGTTCTTCAAGAGGGCGTTGTCACCTTTCTTGAAGAACAAAACCATCGGTCCTCTGCTCCACGCCTCTGGAGTAGTGCCACCATGGAGGACGGAACTGAAGAGCTTCTGAAGGACTTTAAGTACCAGTGTTCCACCCGCTTTCAGAAGCTCCGCTGTAATTCCATCCTCGCCTGAGGCCCTGCCGTTTTTAAGGTGCTGGAGAGCCATTCTAATCTCGCTCAGACTGACGTCCGGGATATCACCGGAATAGTGTCGGATAAGACTTTCTCTTGGATCGTTACTCACACTTGCGTGTGGCTCTAACGATGATGTGTACAGCTGCCCATAGAACCTCTCAATCTCACTCAAAATCTCAGGTGTCCCGGAAACGATGCTTCCACACTCCGTCTTCAGCTTTGACAGTTGGCTCTTTCTGGCAAAGACTTTGGAGCCCTGGTTCCACTCGATTGCTTCTTCAATACGAGCAGTATTAAAGTTGCGTACGCATTTGTGCCGTGTAGTGACGGTCAAGAATATCCACCACCCCATATCTTCCCGTCCCCGGCGGCCCTGCTATTCTTGGCTACGGTGGCGACCATGGTAACGGCGGGACAGGGGATGCTAGGAATCTCCGGTGGAGGTTCGGTTGCCACCTACGACGACTCAACCTGGCAACATATAACGCACGCACGCTGAGGACTGACGAGAAGATCCTGGAGCTGGAAGAAGAGATAGACAAGTTGCGCTGGAATATTATAGAATTATCCAAGGTCCGAAGAGACGGGGGGACACGGTGATCCTCGAATTCGACAACTTGTTCTATCACCGGAAGGGCGACCATCTTTCCCAAGGAGATGTTGGATTTATCGCCCACAAGTCTCCCGTTATCAACGTTGTAAAGATTGGCAGTGTATCGACGAGGGTTGCGTATCTTATAGTCAAAATCACCAAACGGTATTTGCTGAAGGTCATACAGGTTTACATATCAACGTCGAAACATCCCGATTAGGAGGTGGAGGAAATGTATGAGGATATTTCTAGTGCCATGCATTCCTCCAAAACTCACTATACGGTGTTAATGGGAGACTTCAACGCAAAACTGTACACAAGAAAGAACGGTGAGCCGAAAGTAGGGAAATTTGGGATAGGGCAACGGAAACCAAGGGGCCAGCAGCTGGCCGACTTCATGAAGAAAGAACGAAGAAGGACTCTTTATGATGAACTCTTTCTTCCAGAAGCGGCCCCACAGGAAGTGGACCTGGTCGAGCCCCGACGGTTCGACAACAAATGAGATTGACTTCATTATAACGACTAGACGCCAACTGTTCAGTGATGTCTCAGTGATCGCAAGGGTGAAAACTGGCAGCGATCACCGAATGGTTAGAGGCACACTGAACCTAAACGTTAAGTTAGAGAGGTCTCGTCTAATGAAGTCAACGCTCCATCCCCCTCGTGCTCTAATCCAGAATCCCGAAACCTTTCAGCTCGAGTTACGTAACCGCTTTCAGTGCCAGTGAAGATTACAATGCAGTGGACGATATGAATGACAAGCTCGTGGAAACTGTCCATGCGGTCGGAGCTAAGTTCTGCAAGACCCGCCGCAGAAGAACACAAAAACTCTCCGATCACGCTCTTAATCTCATGGCTGTTAGACGGGAGATGAGGCTGCAATCGTCAGCAGATTTAAATATGAGTGTGCAGTTTTAATAGCCTTAATTTATGTAATTAATATGAAAAGTGACCTGATAATTGGGATGGGCGTGCGGTCGATGCGCGGGCTGCGAGTGCTGCTGCTGGTGCTGCGGCATCTGTGGGAGCTGCGGGTGCTGCGGATGCTGCGAGTGCTGCGGATGCTGTGAATGCTGCGGGTGCGGCGGGTGCTGCGGGTGCGGCTGCGACATGGAGTGCGCGTGCGAGTAGTGCGGCGGCGCGGCCGCGCGGGCGGGCTGTGACATGCCAACTGGCTGCGGGGGCTCCATACTCTGCATTATGGGATATATTGGCTCATTTTGAAGTGAAACTTCTTCAGCTACTTCGCGTTTTGCAGTATTTGACTCGCGATAAAGAAGGATATCTGTATGTATACGAACAAGCAAGAGGGCAAGTGTATGAGGGCTAATAATCCTCCTCTCACCAGATGTCGCTAGTTGATATTGAGGTGAAGTTTTTTGTTACACAATTTCATTTAATTGAGGAGTTAGTTTTAAATAAAAGTTTATCAGTTTCTAGAGTAGTATATTAATATACAAAAAATACCTCAGTGGTTTGCTCTTTAATTTTGTGCACATTTTTAACTCTTTATATAATTTTGCTACTTTTATGATTCGTCTGTGCTTTGGTTTATTTATCTTTAATCTAATTAGTAGAAAATATAACTAATAGTACAAAAAACATTAAACTTTACATATTTAAAACTCATTTGTAAGTGGCGCCGCCCTGGTGGCAGGAAAAGTCGTAGATGCCCTCATTGGCTAGATTAATGCGATTGAATGAGACAAGAAATGCTGCACTGGAATAATTCGAGAGTTTTCGTGGTCTCTGCGTAAAGAAAAAAGTTTGCGGCAACATCTACTTTACGACATTTGTGCAGTTAGTTTCCCATTTATTGCATTTATAGCTAAGCCACTGCGCCACGGAGACATAGACAGCTCCGTGGCGCAGTGGCTTAGCAATAAGTTACAGCGTTGGGGGCCGCGGGTTCGATTCCCGCACGGAGCAAATATTTGTATGGCCTACAAGTAATTGTTACGGGTCTGGATGTTTGTCCTTGTGAAATGTATGTTTGTAAACTGTCGCCACGATACAGGAGAAAATCCTAGTGTGGAGGTGACGTTTTCAAAAAAAAATTGAAATAGAAATTTATACTAGAATTTGTATGTCACAGTCCTTGTTACTTACTAATGAGAATCAATTAAATAAATATAACCGTCTAATCAATTTCGCTGTAAGGTGCATTCAGCCGTCGTAAATATGATCATGTTTCCGTGTTTCGCACGAAGCTTTGGTGGCTCTCCCTATTTAGAGTACGTCAATATATCTCTACTGTAATACGGCTACTATCACTTTATTCAAAAACTGAAGGTAGCCGGGCTGTCCTCGGGAATCAAAAAGCTAAAGTTAAAAGCGATAAAATCCGCAAAATTAGTTTCCTTTAGTGTGTAGTATTGGCGTAAATATAAAAATTTTTAATGCTTGTTTTTTTTTAAATGACAGTAGTCAAAAGGTCTCCGAGGGTTTCGAATCCGCCATTCGTGTCCTGAACCACTCCTAACACAAGAATATTATTAATGTTAATAACATTACTAGTAACTATTAAATTTAAAAATAATAATGTAATTACTCACCCCATTGCGAGTGTGATGCATCGCATCTGGCGGTCGATAGTGCTTCGGTTTGGGAGGCGGCACGGGCTTGTACGCGGGGCCCGAGTTGCGCTGGTAGTCAGCTTGCGACGCCGAGTTTGTGCGTGCACTGCACAAAACAAACACTTTGTTAAGTATGAAACTATGTAACCCAGACCGAATTTCGGTCACGGCTGCCAGTATCAATTGAGACTAGGAATCTGCGCAGGACAGTTATAGTGCACCGGTGAAAATCCGACACGACCGCAGAAAGATTCTCTCCAATCCCGTCCAACTACCTGACTATATGATCTCGAGCTACTACTAAGAATTCCTTGTTAGAAAAACCCAAAATCTGATTGAAGCCCAACACTGGATACAAACCCACACGATCATGTCGCACTTACGGCCACTAGACCAACGGGACAGACATAGAAAATACATACCGGTTACGCGGAAACGATTCGTGTATTTTAATTTTATTCGAGGGTATATTTTGCCAAGTGTTTATCCTTCCTTTGACCTATTGTCCCTCGTACACACTGAAAGGGGGGGAGGTGAGAGGGGAAAGAGGAGATTCTAGAAGGTGGCGTGATTCTTTCGACCAATGAGAAGCGCGCCCGACCGAGATGCATTGGTGGGAAAGCCGAAGCAATATAAGCTCGCGCGCTGCCCTCGAGTCCTCTCTTGCCACGCTCTCTTGCCACGCGCCGCTAGTCTGAACCGCATCACCTGGAGCAGTCGCGCTCCAGAAGTAACCGCCTTACATAGTGTTAGATATCGTCGCGCACCGCTCTCTTCCTTTGCACGACTGGCCTGGACCACATTTCTGGGGCGCCCCAGAAAACCCACCTCACGTCGCATCACAGCAACGGAAGCGCCTCAACCGCATCGAAGTCACACCCCGGTAAGTGTATTTTTTCCTATAATTCAGTGCCTGCTTGAGCATTTGTTTGTTAGCTAATCCGCCCCATTTCATTTCTCCTAACGTGTTCAAGAAGGATTCCTTCATAACCTTGGCAAACAATAGATTTCGGAAGAGCGAGTGCATTGTCAAGGAACCGCGTGCCACAACCGCCATCTTATTGAGGTAGAAGAAGCTTCCCGCGTATACAGTCCATCTAGTATAACATCTCGCGTTATAGGGTCAAGGCTCAACCGGGGAATCCAACTCGGGAACCCTAAGGCCCGCCGCACAACCACATACATAATAGAACGGGGGAGTGGGCGGAGCCCGTGTAGCCACTAAAAAGTTGTCAAGCGTCACCGCATGCAAATTATTTAAAAAATGGCATTGTGTAATAATTACGTGTCGAAAGAACTGCGGGAAATGGAATTTAAATAAAGGAGACATATTCTACAACCAGTAAGTCGAAACTATTTATATTTTGTAAATATTAGAAACAAAAATTAAGAAATATTTATGTGTCAAAAACATTAATCAAAAGTCTAAAATGTGTTTGTAGTAGTGATTAACCGATAATACGGCGTAATTGCTTGTATGTGTGCTCTCGGCGACGCCAACCCTCCTACAAAATGGGGACAGACAATTTTTTTATAGAATAAGGGTGCCAAACGAACACACAGTCCATCCAATGGTAGGTGGATGCTGTGAACCATAGACATCTACATTTATCCTCGATTAAAAATCAAAACGCGGATGCGTTGTCACCCCTGAGGACTAAGATGGAACGCCTGGTTTGCATTAAAAAAGCGTCTCCGGATACTTATACTTACCATACGAAACACATCAGTATTAAGCTGTTATTTTACGCTGGTATTCTGTGAGAGCGTGGTCCTTTCCCCGGTCGAGTCGACCCATTCGTGCTACAACCATAATATAGCTATAGCGTGGCTCTACCACGTATGAAATGAAACTGGAATAAAAATCTTTTGAAGGTCATGAATGTAAACGACTGTTATATTGTGGTTTAGAGGGGTCTTAAGTGTCGTAAGGTACATCTATCAATATACATCTATCAATAACCGTAATATTATGCTGGCATTTTCTATAGTCGCCTCTTGTTTTCAACACCTAGCAATATAGTGTAAGCTTCGTAACGGCGCATTACTTAAACGGTAATTATTATTATGTTAAAAATTAATAAGCGTTATTTCAACTTGTTTCTTTATAACATTTGTTTTTGTTTTGTTAACTCATTAAAATTAGTTGATTATTGTTATTCATAAATAGTTTAAATTTCACTAATGAAATGTTTAATTCAAGAATTTAGAAGGTAATAAATCTCAAATCGCAGCAAGTAGGAATAGCTTGCACATACTTGCATTCAATTTAAAAGCAGTCATACTGTTAGGACCTAGTCGTATTTGTGAATTGTGAATAATTTTATATTGTGAAAATAATTTTGATTAGTAAATAAGTTACATAAGTGTAGTGTTTTATTATTGGAACCATAATGAGTGAATGTAGAGATCATTCGTAGTTTAAAAAAATACTTCTGGTGATCATATTCCTTCAAATATTATGTGAATTGGTGAAATTTGTTCAATTCCTTTCCATGTGCAATTTAAATAGATACAGGAGAAATTCCTAGTTTCAAGGTCATCCATTCATTCACTACAACTTAAAGTCCACTGCTGAATATAGGCCTCCCCTTAGACAGTCTTATAAGGGCAACCTTTCACAGTTCATATGCTTAGCAGGAGAATTGGTTACTGCAGATTTTCATTTTCTAGTAGATATAAGGAATACACTGCTGCTCATTGCTTATTTTCCTCTGTCGCCTCTTCCGACATCCACAGGACGATATGGAGTAGTGGATATTCCTACACTTCCACTACGCGGTCAAAGTTTCAGGGTAACATTAAAAATATACTTGCCTGTATTTAGCGTGGTCATTGGTGGGTACATTAGGCAACGAAGGTCCGCGAGCGTGCATGGGCCCGTGTTGAGGAGCATGCTGCGGACCGTGCTGGGCGGTGTGCTGTTGGTTGTGTTGCTGTGTGTGCGGACTGCTGTCGTTGGTGGGACGCCCGCTGCGGTAGCCATCATTGCATCTGTTGGAACTAATTAATTGTTAGTTAACCAATCGTTACGATAACTATCACCGCATCTGTTAGGATATCTCACAGCCATGTACTCTTTGGAAAAAGTGTCCACACATTTATAAATGATTTTTCGTATTTTGAGGCTAAGCTAAGCTAAGCTGTACAGCATTAAGAAATGCGTAGAGTTGTGAATATACCAATATACAGGGTTATTTTGCAATAAACGGCAAGTTTTTGCAGAGAAAGTTTAGAATAAGTAATATAGGCAAAGGTGTTTAAAAATTAATTAAAAATATTGACAAACTTCCAGCTCCAGTATCTTCTCGTCAGTCCTCAGGGTGCGTGCGTTATATGTTGCCAGGTCGAGTCGTCGTAGGTGGCAACCGAACCTCCACCGGAGATTCTTAGCACCCCCTGCCCCGCCGTTACCATGGTCGCCACCGTAGCCAGGAATAGCGGGGCCGCCGGGGACTGGGGGCCGTCTGTTTGTGTATTTATTCATTGGGGGGTATTTGCCATAGTTGCCACGCTTGGCGAGCGGGTTGGCAACCGCAGTTTTTTATTACGTCACAGTTGTCATCAGGAAGACGCTGCTGCCCATCTCCTGCCTGTCTCCCTCTGTCGCCTCTTACGACACCCACGGGAAGATATGGGGTAGTGGATATTCTTAACCGCCACTACACGGCATAAGAGCTGGAAGAAGAGGTAGACAAGTTGCGCTGGCATATTATTGGATTATCCGAGGTCCGAAGAGAGGGGGAGGACACGGCAATCCTCGAATCCGGCAACTTGTTCTATCACCGGGAGGGCGACCATCTGTCCCAAGGAGGTGTCGGATTTATCGTCCACAAATCTCTCGTCAACAACGTTGTAAAGATTGGGAGTGTGTCGACGAGGGTCGCGTACCTGATACTCAGAATCACCAAACGGTATTCGCTGAAGGTCATACAGGTTTACGCACCAACCGCGGCACATTCCTATGAGGATGTGGAGGAAATGTATGAGGATATTTCCAGAGCCATACACACCTCCAAAACCTACTACACGGTGTTGATGGGAGACTTCAACGCAAAACTGGGCACAAGAGAAAGCGGTGAGCTGAAGGTAGGGAAATTTGGAGTAGGGCAACGGAACCGAAGGGGCCAGCAGCTGGCCGACTTTATGGAGAAAGAGGGACTCTTTATGATGAACTCTTTCTTCCAGAAGCGGCCCCACAGGAAGTGGACCTGGTCGAGCCCCGACGGTTCGACAAAAAATGAGATTGACTTCATTATGACGACCAGACGCCAACTGTTCAGTGATGTCTCAGTGATCGCAAGGGTGAAAACTGGCAGCGATCACCGAATGGTTAGAGGCACACTGAACCTAAACGTTAAGTTGGAGAGGTCTCGTCTAATGAAGTCAACGCTCCGTCCCCCTCGTGCTCTAATCCAGAATCCCGAAACCTTTCAGCTCGAGTTACGTAACCGCTTCCAGTGCCTAGAAGATTGCAATGCAGTGGACGATATGAACGACAAGCTCGTGGAAACTGTCCATGCGGTCGGAGCTAAGTTCTGCAAGACCCGCCGCAGAAGAACACAAAAACTCTCCGATCACACTCTTAATCTCATGGCTGTTAGACGGGAGATGAGGCTGCAATCGTCAACAGATTTGACAGCATACAGGCAACTGAACAGACAGATCTCCAAATGCATACGGCGAGACTTACGCAACTTTAATACTTCTCGTATTAAAGAAGCGATCGAGCGGAACCAGGGCTCCAAAGTCTTTGCCAGAGATCTGTCTGCCAGAAAGAGCCAACTGTCAAGGCTGAAGACTGAGTGTGGCAACATCGTTTCCGGGACACCTGAGATTTTGAGTGAGATTGAGAGGTTCTATGGGCAGCTGTACACATCATCGTTGGAGCCACACGCAAGTGTGAGTAACGATCCAAGAGCAAGTCTTATCCGACACTATTCCGATGATATCCCGGACGTCAGTCTAAGCGAGATTAGAATGGCTCTCCAGCACCTTAAAAATGGCAGGGCCCCAGGCGAGGATGGAATTACAGCGGAGCTTCTGAAAGCGGGTGGAACACCGGTACTTGAAGTCCTTCAGAAGCTCTTCAATTCCGTCCTCCATGGTGGCACTACTCCAGAGGCGTGGAGCAGAAGTGCGGTGGTCTTGTTCTTTAAGAAAGGCGACAACGCTCTCTTAAAGAACTACAGACCAATTTCCCTTCTGAGCCGCGTCTACGTGCTGTTTTCGAGAGTCATTACGAATCGTCTCGCACGCAGACTTGACGACTTCCAGCCTCCCGAACAAGCCGGTTTCCGAAAAGGCTTCAGTACCATAGACCACATACATACCCTGCGGCAGATTGTACAGAAGACTGAAGAGTACAATCTGCCACTTTGCCTGGCGTATGTGGACTATGAGAAAGCCTTTGATTCCGTCGAAATTTGGGCGGTGCTACAGTCCCTTCAGCGGTGCCAAGTTGACTGTCGGTATATCGAAGTGCTGAAGTGTTTGTACAGTAGGGCTACGATGGCTATCCGAGTACAGAACCAGAGCTCGAAACCTATCCAACTGCAGAGAGGTGTAAGACAGGGTGACGTTATATCCCCCGAAACTCTTCACCGCTGCATTGGAAGACGTTTTCAAGCTACTGGACTGGAAAGGATACGGTATTGACATCAATGGCGAGTACATCACTCACCTTCGATTTGCCGACGATATAGTCCTTATGGCAGAATCGCTGGAGGACTTAAGCACTATGCTCAATGACCTCAATAGTGCCTCCCAACGGATAGGTCTTAAGATGAACATGGACAAAACAAAGATCATGTTCAATGTCCATGTCACACCTATGCCGGTAGTTGTTGGGAGCACTATGCTCGAAGTTGTTGACGAATACGTTTACCTGGGACAAATAGTCCGAGTAGGTAAGTCCAACTTCGACCGAGAGGTCAATCGACGGATTCAACTCGGCTGGGCAGCGTTCGGGAAATTACGGCATATCTTTTCGTCAGGTATACCTCAATCTCTAAAAACTAGATTGTACAACCAGTGCGTGTTGCCAGTGATGACTTACGGATCTGAGACGTGGTCCTTCACTGCTGGCCGTATGAGGACGCTTAAGGTCGCTCAGCGAGCTATGGAGAGGGCTATGCTCGGAGTTTCTCTGCGTGATAGACTCAGAAATGAGGATATCCGCAGTAAAACCAGAGTGACCGACATAGCCCAACGGATTAGTAAGCTGAAGTGGCAATGGGCCGGCCATATAGCTCGAAGAACCGATAACCGATGGGGAAGAAAGGTTCTCGAGTGGCAGCCTCGTACCGGTAGGCGTAGTGTAGGGCGACCCCCCACTAGATGGAGTGACGACCTGGTAAGACATGCAGGAAGTCGATGGATGCAGGTGGCTCAGGACCGTGCTTTGTGGCATTACTTGGGGGAGGCCTATGTTCAGCAGTGGACTTGTGAAGGGCTGTAATGATGATGATGATGATGATTGACAAACATTCTGTCCTTTATATATTTTTAATTCAAAACGCGTGGTAATGCATTTGTAAGCGTCGATCGATAGGCAAAAACGTTGTTGCCCATATATCACATTCAATTTGGGATATTTTTAAAAGAAAAGTAGAAGCCATATTTACTCGTATTTTCAAAAACTGCAATAACGGTATATCATTGTTTGTATATTTGACCCTAAGATTAAAATTTGAAAAATAACCCTATATGTTATTCGTTTTATACAAAATATTATGAATGTCACGTTATATATACAACGGTCACAAAGTTAAAAAAATAAGCAAACAAAAGTATGTAATAAATCGAATGTAGAACTAGAATTTAGAAACTTTCTGTTAGGCACTGTAACACGCTCCAAGCAAGCGTATTAATTTGTCTGTAGGCAGTTGTTTTGAATACTTCAACATCGCGATTTAGATCTCGGTCGTGAATTAATGCGTGTCGCCTCATTTGAATGGAGTAGCAGAATAAAATGAGGCAGAGCAGAATTCCGAGGATCGTACCTGTAATTATTTTCGGGTCCTCGGTAGTCGAGTGATGAGTGGTCGTGTGAGTTTGAGTTACGCTGTGGACTTTGCGCCGACATCGCTGTAGGGTTCGGGGGCGGCGGTGGTTCCATTTTACTAAAAAATCACAACTACTAGTTAGCAACCATTTCATTTAAAAATCCATAGGTTTAGTTTAAATTTGAGTTTTTTTTTTTTTTTTTTTTTTTTTGGGGTCCCTTGCTTTGGTTGTGTTTAAATGGAAATAAATAATTTTGATAAATATTACAGAATCATTGTTTCAGATTTTTATTATAAATTATTTAAATTGTGGAATTAAATTTTCTTTATCCAATACGGAATACCCCAATGAATGAGCAAGCTGAAGAGTCAATGACAATATAGCCCGTAGCTATAATATATATAACTCGAAGAACTGACAAGCGATGGGGAAGAAAGGATGTCGAGTGGCAGCCTCGTACCGGCTAATAGAGCGACTCCCACTATATAGAGTGACGATCTGATAAGACATACCGGAAGTCGATGGATATAGGTCACTCAGGACCGAGTTTTGTGGTGTTCTTTAAGGGAGGCGTATGTTTAGCGGTGCACTTGTAATGATGATGACAATGATAAATATGGCTCTAATGTTTTGATAACTATGATATTATGTGTTTATACATAAAAAAGATGGTTTGCACCACTGTCACTGGCAAAATAACAACTGTCGTTTAAAAAAAATATTTCATTGATATTCAGCAGTGCATCGTGCGGTACTCACCCGGGCGGCGCCACCTTGAGGTCATCAGGCGCGTTGGGCGGCAAACGGCACGAGCCGAGTGACGAGCCAGTGTTAGACGCACTGTAGTCGTAACCTCCCGTGCCGTCGTATGAACTTTGCTGTTAAATTACATTTCCTTTTCGATTATGCGTTCGATTCTATCTGTTTTGAGTTGGAAAGATAAGGAGAATATTTTATTCCGCGACAAATAGACATCTACATCTATCCTCGGTAAAGAAACAAAATACAGATGTGTTGTCACGCCTGAGAACTAACAAGAAATGCTTCATTTCCAGTAAAAAGGGTTTTCGGTTCTCTACACTTACCAGTATTTTTTTTTTTGCTCTAGTATTCTGTGAGAGCGTAACCCTTCCCCGAACGAGCCGACCCATTCAAGCTACAACCAGAATAAAGATGTAGCACGGCTGTACCACGTAATTATATTTATCTAAATGTACATAACTAACTGTAAGACTGGCTGTAAGGACCTTGTATGACCCATGTTTCACTGGTGGCGTAAAATATATATATTCCGTATATTTTTCTTAAACACCACACAAATAATACAAAAGTGAGGAGGCAATCTAATATTAAATAGTATCCAATAGAGAAAAACGAGATAAAATGAGCAAAAATACGTTGAGCTAAAACCAACGGTTGATAGTTTTACTGATAGCCTTATACTAAGAGTAGGAAATTCCGATAGTGAATCATTAGATTATTCAAGCGATGGAGATTTATGTGGCTTAGAAGAATTAACTTGCTCTTAATAAGACCAATGTTACCAAATCATTATTATCTACTGTTTGTTTTGTATTTTTTATTTCATAATCGGTTATCGGTTTCTCATAATAAAATTATATATTTTTGCAACATACTGTATACTATGCATTAGTGTGAGTACTGTCAACGTAATAGCTTTAGTTGACCGACCTTTACCTAATAGTAGTATGGTAGATTGTTGTTTTTATATTATCTACAAAGTTGTTAACATTTTTTGCTCTTGTGTTACCAAAACTTTAATTACAGTAACATGATGCTAAAGTAAATAGTAATTAGGTTATTTGCAATAAAAAATACAAAATTACTGTTAATTTTGATATTATGTTAGAACATTTCCTTTTTTTTCCATCATATTAACATACCGGATTGGAGCCGTGTCGAAGTCGATCTAGCGATCCTTGTCCCTGCGTCTGTTGAATTATCATGCTTGTAGGTCGTGCGGTGTACGTCGCAGTGTCATCTCCAGAGTTAGTTGTTGAGTTGGGGGGACCGAATAATCGCTCTTGTGCGCTTGGACGATTCTTAAGAAAAGAAAAATGAAAGTTAGTAAAAAAGAAATGTAAAATAATTTTTTTAAATATCTATCCACCAATTTGTACCGACCTCTTAGCTTCTTAATCGATTACGATTATAAGAAAAAACATACTGGCATAGAGCAAATTTATGCCTAGCTGTTTTGTCTAGTTTGAAATTACATTGTGAAAAGCGAAATTTTGTAAATTGCCTTTTCATTTAAATAGTGAATTCTATTATCTCAAAATTAGGATTTGTGAGTTATATCCTTTTTGCATGATTATGTGAGTTTTTGGGAGGAAATTGACCCCTGGTGGATTGTTATTCCTGTTATATGAAATGGATGTTATTTTGTATATTAAGTAACTGCGCCACCGACTATCCTATGGGTTTTGTTGTCTCAACAATGTACGCTGGGATGGTTTTTTATTTTTAGAGAATGTTTGTCACTGGCAAAAGTACAATCTTACGAGTTCATAACCTAAAAAAATAACTTAGAAAGAATGGGAGACACTCACAGGCGTGTTGTGGCGCAGCGCGTGCGGGGGGCGTGCGGGGGGCGGCGCGGGGAGCAGCACGCCGCCCGTCGGCCGCGCCGCCGGCCCGCGCGGCGGTAGCTCCGGCACTGCAATACACACACGCTCTTAGCAACCTACCAACCTTCCGGACACTCCACCATATGACCAGGCTCAACCTAGTTCACTTTCTACCGTTACCGTTACAGCCTATTAAAGTCTTCTAAACATTGCCCTCCCCATAGATTCCCTCATAGGGAGGATATTTTCCATTTGCCAGCTATGGCAAATAGCCCCCCTGTCTGTGGAAAATGACTTTGTACAATAGTAGACTTTGATAGGCTTTAATAAATGAATTAATGAAAAAAAAGTAACCTATACCAAGTCAATGTTACAAAGTACGCGGTCCCAGTTTCAATTTTGAGACTTATCTAGTACAAGTCGCGGCACGTAAGTCTAGCGCTGAACGAAACGTGGAAGAGATAGCTGCGCATGTTGTATCAGTATGCCAGAAGCCCTAGCCGTACGCAAGTAACAGTAGCCAATCAGCGCATGCACACAATACGCACAGCTAGTCAGCGATACGTATGCCCGCCACGCGACCTGCTTGTTACCCCATGATACCTTACTTTCGACTTATGCGCAGTAGCGGTCCCCGCTAGACTTTCATGCCGTGACGTATAGTGTTAACGATTTAAAAAATACAACTTAGCTAACCCCGCAGGGCAGTAATATTATCACATAAAGTAATCATTCAAACATAATACATAAACATAATTTCACTGTTACCCAGACGAATAGGTAGTTTTTTTATAGTATAAAGATGACAAACGAGCACACAGTCCACCTGATGGTAAACGGATGCTGTAGTCACAGACATCGCCATTTATCTTCGATTAAGAATCAAAAAACAGATGCGTTGTCACCCCTGAGGACTAAGATGGAATGCCTCGTTTCCAGTAAAAAAGGGTATTAAGCTGCTACTTTACGCTGGTATTCTGTGGGAGCGTCGTCCTGCCACGGTCGAGCCGACCCATTCGTGCTACAACCATAATAGCTGCAGCGTGGCTGTACCACGTCAAAACGTACATATTACATACTTCCATTCGGCACGATCCTCTTCCCAAGGTGTTTCCCTCTCGCTTCTTTCGCATACATGCTCGTCGTTTAAGAGTAAAAATTTATAATATTGGCGATAACTCTTCATCTTACAAACAATATATAAACAGTTATGGCTTTCTTTTTGCCTAGATGTTCGCTTGAGTGAGTACTTCTCTTATCTATTACTACTCTAAAGCAGCAGTGTACTATTGAGTTCTAGTTTAAAGGTTAAGAGAAATGCTACAATTATAGGCTGTGAGACAATTCATCTTAGTCACATGGATTTAGGATAGTAATAGACGGCCAGACGGTGTGCAAGGGAGAAGAAAATTCCTTATGGCAATATAGTAAAATAGAAAAGGTTAGCAAATCTCATTCATGATTTTGTAACGGATTTTCATTTTAGCTTTATAGCTCAGGGACTACGCACTCCCTGTTAATTTTACAGTACGCGACAAACCCGAGTTCGATTACCACCGGCACTAATGAAATTGTTATTTGCGAATTTACATGGTGATTTAGTACGTGATCGATGGTGCAGGAAAACATCACGAGAAAACCTGCATGTCTGAGAATTTTAAAAAAATATTTTGTAATCATGTGAATTCCGCCAACGCAAATACGCGTTGGGGCAGCACGCGGCGATCATTTCCTCGTCCTAAATACAGGACCCATCATTAGGATGTATCTAGGCTTAAAACTTTATTTTTTCTACGTTAAATACATCTATGGGGAAGGCCTATGTACAGCGGAGCCTTAGTCTATAATAAATAATAATTACAAAAAAGGTTTTACGATAACTTGCGTTGTTGTTTAGTAAGCTTTGTCTAAATATAATGATAGGTGAGTTCTGCTATACATCAGTCCATAGAATACTATACTCGTAATACACAATAGAATGGCTGTCAAACTTATTTCGTACGAGGATAGGCGTCGCCGGGAGCACACATACAAGCAATTACGTCGTATTATCAGTAAATCACTACTACAAACCTAATTCGCTGTTTTGACAGATGGATTTTAATACATATTTATTTGTAAATAGCGTGCAATTTGGCATTTTCTAAATAATTTGCATGCGAAATTTGGAAACGATTGTAACGTCAAAACACATCTCGTGTTGACATTTATACGTGTGAATTGACGTGTTGGTGACATTTTAGTGGCTACACGGGCTCCACCCACTCCCCCGTTCTATTATGTATATATTATAGTATTCTATGCATCAGTCTATAAAAACAAATTTTAAAAAGTCCAAATAATAAAGAATGTATGTCGATAACAATGCAACTATACTAATATTATAATAGTAATTAATTACCGGTTCCATAAAGGGGCGAGTGCGGCGGCGAATGTGTCATGGGACTGCACTGATAGGGCGGAGCTTCGATAGAACTGGGTCCCATGTTGTGACCGCCCTGATTATTATGTCCCATGCCATTGTTAGACGTGCCGTTCCCATTCGCTGAAAAGCCATATTTGCTGTCTCCGTAGCCACCCTGCTGTAATATTAAAACAACAGTTGAAGTGCTTTTTTTGTCTTATCAATAATTAAGCGACCAAGTAATGTGTAGCTCATTATGATACTGTTACTATAATAAAAATAATCTTTGTGAACTAACACAATAACATGGATGTTAGACAGGTACATTGCATTTTGTTCAACACCAAATGTACAAAAATGATGTAAACCAAGATTAAGAAGCGATTGATTCAAATTTGATTGGTATCATAATGTTGCAATGAGTTCAAAAAGCTTATGAATGTAGGATGCAGTCAAACATGATCGTATAAAATTATATTATAAAGTTAAAGGACAAATCAGTAGTACCAACCGTATAAGGTGGAGGAACAGCATCGGCCATGTGATTAATGTCGTCATCCCGGTCCATATTGTCTTGCGTGGTCGCAATCGATGGATCCGATGAAGACTTGACTAGTCTGGGCGCAGGCGGCGGACTTACTTCCAAATCACTCTCAGGACTAGATGCGTAAGATAATCGGTTCTCTGTACTCGACGACATTGAGAACAAGAAGTCGTCCGATAACGGCTCTGGCCTCTGTTTCCCGCCATTTCCATTTCAAATATTTCGGCCATTTTGTGCACGAGCGGTTCGTTCCATTTTCGATCAGCGGCGTCCGATGATAGGGTAGGTTTATGGAATGGGGTGACAAGACAAGACAAATGAATGATTGCAAAAAACACGTTAAAGAAAACTAAAATCGTGTCTGTAGCGTTCGTGAATGATTAATGTTTTAAGGTTTAATCACACTTTATATCAACATTCAAACATTAGCGAAAAATTATAATAAGAAAAAATAATAGTTAACAAAAAAAATTGTGTTTGAATGTTAATTTATTGATCATTTGTGGTATTTAACACTGGTAAATTGTGGTAATTTTGAAAACGAATCAACACACATTTTTGGTATAAATTATTCAATAATTTTTGGAAAGCAACAAAAATATTTACAATCATATATATAGACTTCATTTTCATGCAATAACAAAATAATCTAATATAAAAGCTAATAACAAGCAATACATAAAAAGAACATAAAATGATTACCTTAATATATAAATAGCATGCAAGGTTAAACAAATATGCAAGATTTTTTGGTAACTTTGTACTACGGACATTTACAAGCGTTCCTAAACATACCCCAAATGTTGCTCAGAAATAGGTTTACTCAGAACGCTAGGGACATCCCTTTCAGCCTCAGTTGTATCAATTCTTTCATCTTTATCAAACTCATCCAGCTTAAGCGTAGGAAGAGATAAGTTCTTTTGTCTCTGCAAAGATCGTGGAGAAACTGATGGCAAGGTTCGTGATTCGCTGAACCGAGTTTGATTGACAATCTGTTTTCCATTACAATTGCAATTTGGTATTTTGCATATCGGCTTTAAAGGTTTGTCCAAACCTTTTACAGGTATTGGCACATCTCTTTTGAGATGCGTTTTCCACTCTGGTATGTCGTCGGTCTTTTCCGGTTCATTTTGGAAAAATACAGACGCTGGTCGGAATTGTTCCGTTACTGGCATGACAGAGGTCGCTCTTTGAGAATTAGTTACAGGTAATTTGAAAGAATTTTCTAGAACGCTGTACGGTCTGAACGGCTGAGGCTTTGGTAAATTACTTTTTGTATGACCATAAGCCACCTCAGGGCTAACATTGACGGAGTTATTCATCCTAGCATTCTTCATTCTTTGATAGTACTTCTGTCTCTCGTCATATGGATAGCTAGCAAATGTGTGCCTATTTCTGTTGCTAAGGTAAGGGTTAGGAACGCTGTAGACATTGTTAGGCATGCATGGCGTTAGAGTTTCGGAGTAGTAGTATGGGACCACGTGATTTCTGTTGGCGTCATACACTTGATCGTGACGTTTAGTGCTTGTTATGTTAGAGTTAGATAAAGGCATGTTTTGTGGCGAACGGATCGTTCTTTGAGGAGATTGGGATTGGCCGTAGTAGGTGATAGGAGAGGAGATTGGGTAGAAGGCTGGGTAAGGAGACGGGGGGATTGGGAAGTATATATCCGACACCATTTCAACGTGCTACACCGCCGCAAGACAGAACAGAAAGAAATAGGTTAATTAAACATCCTACGCGACTTAACAATATGAAAGGTGGCATTAATTCCCTTACATTCCTTAGATGGTAAAGTGAGTAATAGCTACCCAAATACACAAACAGTTTCCCAAATGCACCAAACTTCCATTATGAAGCAACCTTCTCGAAGCATGATTTACTGCCGCGATAAATTAATGTCGATATGAATACAATAAATTTAAACAGATATTATATTAGTTCCATTGACCCATGAACAGACGAAATAGATAAAATGAAGCTTGTGTAAAAAGAATGTGCGCCTAACCTTAAGTTGTGCAAAATGTGTATATGTGCAATGAAATTATTGTGAATACCAGTACATAATATTCATTTGTAGATAAGTGCAAATATTACATATTATTTTAAATGACCAGCTATCCAAAAGGACATATAACATTTTATTTTAAAGTCACAAATAATATATATTTTAAAGTAATCAAATATATAATTCCTAACGTTTTATCAATATAACTATAAATAATAAGCATTAAAATCAAATAAAAGAAATAATTTTCGTTTGCATATTATATAAAACACAAATGTCCTTCAAATCTAGTTTTAAATTATTATAATTATTTTTAACTTCAATACTACAGTCATTACGTAAAGCATCTGTTGAAAAGGTTGTAATAATCCTTAATTAAGACTACATTTAAATATTCAAATATGAACACCAAGAACAAAACTTTTCACATCTGTTTTGACACAATACTACAATATTGAAAAAACACAAAAATATAAAAATGTATACGTAAATGTGTGTTACGTCACACTTTAAAAACAAATACGAAGGGTATACTCAATAAGTACATTCTTGTGCTTTGCTGATATGAAAAATCGCTAGATAAATAAATATACCAATTTAATTATAGATACATTAGATATTTCACATTATTATTTGATGAAGTTATATCTTTTACCGCATATACTGAAGTATGAAGCTGTAATAAATTTTCTTTGGAGAAAATATTATTATCAAAGTGCGATGAACAATATCGGTACAAATGCTGATTGTAAAAAGATTTGAGTAGGGCTTATGATGCGTAAGTCAATCCTTACCTTGGTCTCTGATACCCAAAACTTCTGTTGGTCGGTCCTCTGTATGAGTTCGACAAGCTTACTGAACCAGGTATTCAGGTTGGCCTCGCTGAGCGTAATAGTGTGTGTAAATACGTGTCCCCATACTCGCTCCATATGCTGACATTGTTCTAACAGCTTCTTCGATGATTTGTGCGCCGATCTGGGAGAAATACATATTTAATTAAAAATGGATGTGATTACAGTCTATCCTGCCCTGACTATTGGCAAGTTCGTGAAGACTGAAGTTTAGAGACCAAGTGGCAGCGTTAGAATAGAATAGAATGAAATAAAATAATAGAATAGAATAAGTTTTATTCAATATAGATTACATGTAATTGTCGCTGAGTCATGTTTTTTACTTTGCCACTCGGAAAAAACCTCTTCCTGGAAAATACCAGCAAGAAACCCAACGGAACTTTTTTTAAGTAAATTATACATATATTAAGATATACATATAGATCAGCACTTAAAATTGTAATTAACAATTTCATTGACGCCAGCGGGGTTCGAACCCGGTTTGCTAGCGTACTGTGAAATTTAACGCGAGAGCTAATCATCTGAGCTACCGGGGCTCTTCTGAGCCACCACGGTTCGTTGAAATGAATACACCTTTTTATTTTGTATGTTTTTTTTTTTATGAATAAATTTATTCTATAGAATATGGTGACAAACGAGCACACAGTCCACCTGATTGTAAGTAGTTGCTGCGGCCCGTAGATATCTATATCTATCCTCCATTACAAATGAAAATGCAGATGCGTTGTCACCCGTGAGGACTAAGATGGAATGCCTCGATTCCAGTAAAACAGTCTCCGGTTCTCTACACTCACCATACGAAACACAGCCAACATTAAGCTAATATTTCACGCTGGTATCCTGTGAGAGCGTGGTCCATCCTCGGTCCGCAGCCGACCCATTCGTGCAACAACTATACTACTAATATAACTGCAGCATGGCTATATATATATATATATATATATATTTGTTCTCAACATATGCGAAACGAAAAGTTCAGTAACTCACATTATCAGTAAGGCATTTTCTAATAAAACCATGTTTTTATAGAATATAGTGACAAATGAGCGCACAGTCCACCTGATGGTAAATGGATGCTGTGGCCCATAAACATCTACATCAATGCTCAATAAAGAATCAAAATGCACATGTGTCTCCAGTCCTGAGGACTAAAATGGATTGTCTCGTTTCCAGTAAAAAGGTGTCACCGGTTATCTACACTTACTATACGAAACACAGCAGCATTGACCTGCTATTTTACGCTGGTATTCTGTGAGAGCGTGGTACTTCCCCGGTCAACCCGACCCATACATGCGACCCAACCATATATAGCTACAGCGTGACTATACCACGTGTAAACTATACCTACCGTCTTATCAGGTAAATAGAAACCTCAAATGTAGATTCTGAGCAATTTAGACTAGTACGCTACGCAAATGTGATTTTTTTTTATTTACTTATAAAGGCAGCCAGTAATATATAAAACAGTCTGTGAGTCAATCCGTTTTTAGGGTTCCGTAGTCAACTAGGAACCCTTATAGTTTCGCCGTGTCTGTCTGTCCGTCTGTCCGTCCTCGCTTAATCTCTGTGACCGTTAGCACTAGAAAGCTGAAATTTGGTACCAATATGTGTATCAATCACGCCGACAAAGTGGTAATAAATAGTGGTAAAAAATAAAAATTGGAAAAAAATGTTTTATTAGGGTAGCCCCCCCTATATGTAAAGTGGGGAATGATTTTTTAACCCTAACGTGTGATATATTGTTGGAAAGGTTAAATTTAAAAATGAATAGGGGTTTACTAAATCATTTTTTTATAATGTCTATAATTTCGGAAATAATCGCTACAAAATTAAAAAAAAAATTGTCCCCCCCCCCCTCTAACTTTTGAACCATAAGTTTAGAAAATATGAAAAAAATCTGAAAAGTAGAACTTTATAAGGACTTTCTAGGAAAATTATTTTGAACTTAGATGGAAACAACAGTACCCACTACCGGGAGCAGTTGCAGGAGCGCGGAGCGCTGCTGGAGCGCGAACATAATGGATACCGACCTTTAAACTCATAAGTGGGAACACTTATTGTGACGGACGGGAAACTACGGAACCCTACACTGAGCGTGGCCCGACACGCTCTTGGCCGGTTTTTGTCCTCTAGTGTGACAGTGCATCTGTGGCCATTTTTATATGAAGTTGGTTACAGTTTTTTTACGTGGTAGAGTCATGCTGCAGCTATATTAGTAGTATAGTTGTAGCACGATGGGGTCGATTCTACCGGGGAAGGACCACGCTCTCACAGAATACCAGCGTAAAATAGCAGCTAAACGCTGCTGTGTTTCGTATGGTGAGTGTAATGAACCGGAGGCCATTTTTACTGGAAAAGAGACATTCCATCTTAGTGCTCACGGGTGATAAACGCATCTGAATTTTGATTCGTGGACGAGGATTGATGTCAATGTCTATGTCCGGCAGCAACCACATACCATCAGGTGGACTGTGTGCTCGTTTGTCACCCTTAATGTATAAAAGTGTCTATAGCCAATAGACACTAGCAGCAGTCAATTTCCATCAGGTGTACTTTTTAGCCCATTTATAACTCTTAAAACATTCTAAATAAAAAAAAACTTACTTAGGCAGCCCGGCCCTCAACTGCTTGATAATATGCTTATTGTCGGCCTTCAAGAATATCACGATGGGGTAAAACTGAGCATAGTTTAGTCGATCCACCGCGTTGGGAGTAATGTCGAGTAGTGCGTGCTTCCCTCGCTCCATTATGCTCCTGATGCTTGAGAGCCTAATAATGCCCGATGATTTTGTTTTACTGTCTTCTAATGCGCTGTCCATTTCTGTAAATACATAAAAAATACAAGGTTGGTAGCAAAGTTCTTATAGCGCGTATACTTGCTACCAACTTGAGTATAAATAGCAACATCTAACTATAGCCGTAAGTAGGTTTCGAGAGCAGTTTGAAAGCATGTAAACGCTTGAAAATATGACGGGCACTAAAGCGTTCAACCATCGAAGCTTGACCGGGAGAAATCGGTTTAGCACGATGCTCACACTGCACTTTAACAACCGTATGTGTTTAGAAGCCTAGCACTAATAATACAAAAGCTTTATATGAATCTTAAATAATATGATATCTATATGTATTAATAAAATTGAAGTATCTGTTTGTAATATCGAACTAACTGCCTTTTATCGAGCCCATTTTATACCGAAAGACTGAAATTTGAGTAAAACTGCAATTGTAGTAAAACTGCAAAAAAATTCAAAAAAGTACTGTAAAAAAGTAAAACAACGAAGTAAAATTGTAATCATCGAGATGCTTGACGGTGCACTACCATGCGATTTACTACGAAATTTCTTCCTCGCACGATTACTTTGTGTAATCGTTTACCACCAGCGATTTTTCCGGAGCGAAATGACTTAAGGGTCTTCAAGAAATGAGCATACTCCTTTTTAAAAGGGCCGGCAATGCACCTGCAATTCCCCTTGTGATGCAGTTGTTCATTAGCAGCGGTCGAAACTAACCATCAGGCGAGCCGCATGCTCTACTGCCCTCTTCTATAAAAAATATCAAAGAAATCGTGTATCGTATATGTATTGGCTACGGGCCGGCCATATAGCTCGAAAAACTTTCAATCACCCATTGGTCGAAGAAAAGTTTTAAGAAGGCAGTACCAGACAAGTAAGCCTTGCACTAGCGTGCGTAGTGTTGGGCTTACTCCAGATGGAGTGATATTACCTGACGAAACTTGCACGTTCAGTACCGTACTTTGTGAAAATTAAAGGCGGGGCCCATGTACAGCAGAGAAGTGATAGGCTGTGATGATGATGATGATGTTTACCAGAATTGCAGTGTGTTGGAAGCGTGAGATAATCCATCACCAAATTTCATCCCTTAGATGTCGTGAGAGTCGGCTATGGGAAATGCAAGAAAGATTTTATGACATCCGATAGATGGCAGTATATCCATATCATTCACTCCGAGCGTAAAATGTTCAAGACAAAGTCTTTGACACGGAGCAGCATCTAAAGTGAGAAACGTATTATACTCTAATGGCTACTCCGTTTGCCTAGCTATTGTAGTAAACCCTGTACTTAGTGATGTTTTTTCCGGTAGATGGTGTGGCTATTTTATGTAAACGAGATAGTTATACCGTCATGTAATGGAAGCCGTAAAATTTTTCTTACGATACCCAAGTTATATAATAGAATGGTGGATGGTCAGGTTTTCTTACTACGTTTTTCTTCACCGCTGTACAAGTGGTAAATCTGCACTTAAAATTACAACTAATAATTTCGTTGGCGCCGGCGGGGATCGAATCTGGGTGCACGTGTACTGTGAAATTTATGGCTCCTGGCGTGTACTGTGAAATTTATGACACCACAACCCACACGTCTATGTGTCTATGACAAATATAGGGGTTGATACCTGAAGAAAGAATAAACCTAAGATTACCGTCTAGTGGCGGTATAAGAATACCCACTATCCCATATCATCTCGTGGATGCATATTTCTAATAACGGCTAAAAATTTAAAAAAAACTGTGGTTGCCCACTTGCCAAGGTATAGCAAACGTCGTCCTAATGAGGCAATTTATAGGGGAGGCCTTTTGCAGTGGACTTTCATAGGCCGAGACGGTAACGACACAAAGTGAACTACGATAGGCCTGATGGTGTGGTGAGAGTTGTCCGAGGTTAGTTTGCGTGTGTTTCTATGAAGCAATTTATAGGGGAGGCCTATGTTCGGCAGTGGGATTATAATAGCATGTAACGGTAACTGCAGAGTGGTGTAGAGTGAAGAGAGACGACAGTGTTAGAAGAGTGCAACTGACTGGGCGTGGCGAAGGAGTCGGGGTGGTCTTGCAGCAGGCGGTCGCGCGCCAGGTCGGCGGCGGCGCCCAGCAGCACGACGGGCCGCACGAAGCCCGCCGCACGCAGCGCAACGCGCTCGTACGCCGCGAACCGGCTGATGCTGTCCGACAGCACCACCTCGTCCCAGTGCTCCTGCGACACATACACCCGTCACCCACTTGACCGTCGGCGAAGTGTTGCTTCTTGTTTTATCGTTAAATAACAAATGTCACGCGATTTGGTGTAACGATGAAACAAGTGCTGCGATGTTAATGTAATAATCTCAAGTTTTTTGTTCGCTTATAGGTATACCTTAAGAAGTTAAGATATAGTCGTCATCGACTTTCTGTTAGGTTAAGCTGGGATCAAAATATCCCAAGAACTACTCAATTTAACGCATGGGCATGTTGTTTTTGAAACAAAATTTTATAAAGTATTATTTCTCATAATTTTCCGCCGACAAAAGTATAACATTAACAAAGAAACTTTAAGCCGGCCGCACATTATAAGAAATACACACGAGCTGGAGAGGTACTGAGCTCATATATTTTTAACTAAACCCCGTAGACTGCAAAAAACCACGTCAGAAATCGGTCAAAATGTCGCACACACACACGCGCACATATTTTGCATTAGACACACCGAAATTCCTGAAAGTGTAGTTCTGTCAACCGGCAGAAATTTTTTAACAACATGCGGCCAACCTTATTTTATAAATTCGAAATGATAAACAATTTTGTAATCCACCTGATGGTAACTGCTACTCCAACTCTGGAAACTTGCAACCAACTTTAAATAAAAAAGGCTACATATGCGTTGTCACTTCTGACACATACCACGGAACGGATTCATAATGAAATAAAATAATAACTTGAAATAAAACGGGACCTCTAATAACCTTCAGAACGAACACAGCAGTGTTGTGCTACTTGGCGGCAGGTAAGAGATTAATACCTATTTAGACAGGCTCTTAAGCACAATTTTCTCTTAAATCTTAGAAGCATATAACACACACAAATTACACATAGACAAAACCCGAAACAATTGTTTGTAGACTATACCAATACGTGGTCCGTGGAGGATACGACTTTTGTAGAAAATTAATATATCCCGGTATTATATTCAAATACATTTATTTATTTAATATTTTTTCAAAAAATGGGATATAGAAAACTTAACTACATTTAATAAGTTCTTTACCTTTGCATAAATATAATTTAATGAAATAAATAAACGTTAACTCTAACATTAGATGAAATTAAATGGTACGAACACAGAGTAAAAAAAGAAGAATGTATGAAAAATTGCTCACCTTTCCTAGACTCTTAGTCCGCCGATGTGTAGAACGACGTCGTCGAAAGAAGTAGTGCTTGCCATCGTTGCCAGACATCTCCTTCTTGGTGGCGTTGAACTGCGCTGTTGCCAACTCCTCTGCGCGCGCTTTGTTGGGTATTATGCCCTTTTGCACTTCTTGATTGCTGCGACCTAGCATCATCGAAAATACAGTTAAAATATAATCATCATTCATCAACATTAGCCTTTTCAAGTTCAAAATAATTATTTGGTTGATTTGCCCTCATCAATTTTGACAGTGGCTCCCCTGAAGACACAAAGCAAGGGTCTATTCGTATTTTTAACAAATTTTCAACCGTCTTCAAAAAAACAAGACGGAGGTTCTCAATTCCACTGTACTTTTTAATGTTATTTTGATGATTCTTTTTTTTTTTTTTTTTAAAGTTGGTGCTTCTCATGTGGTCCCTAAAAAAATTGATTGAGATCTGACCAGTAGTTTTCTATTTATACTTAATGATTCATATTTAAATGAATTCGACTATTTTGATGGTGTTCTCATTTTATTTATATTGAAGTCGGTTGTAAACCATTTTTAATTTTACCACTTGTTAAGAACATGGTTGGCCTGATATTTTTTACTCATAAAAGTAAAAGTGAAGTTACAACCTATAATACGTCCCACTACTGGACACTTGAGCTTCCTCGCATTTTTGAGTGAATTTTCTCACGAAGTTTCTTTTGTTTACTCTCTATAGTATGTGCCAAATCGATTGAGAAAAACGGACAATGGCCTTTCGGTCAATATTTAGGTACATTTTATATGTAGTACTTTCTTTATTTATAATGATTTTTTTTATTATTATTTTCATAATGACTGATATAATATATATATCTATATATATATATATATATATATATATATATATATATATATATATATATACTATATACTATATATATTATTAAAAAGTTACGGTTACCGTTATGGGTCTTCGATTTTAGTATATAAAACACCTTAATAAAAAAAATTACTTTTGTGCGTGTCACTCTTTCATAAAAAGCAAATGTTCGGTAGTTAGGAGTTGTTGAGCAGAAGCGAAGACACGCAAGCAGTACGCACCTATCCTGTAGACCTGCCAGGCGCCGACCGTGCCGTTGTGCAGCGTGTCCACGACGTGGAACACGTCGCCGCTGCGGAACGACATCTCGCCGTCGCGCGGCTCCGTGTAGTGGAAGTGTGTCTTTATGTGGAACGAGTCGCCCGCTGTAAGCCAACCAACTTTTATAAGTCTCACTTTTAATATCAACTATTACTTGTTATAGGGAGAGAGAGAGAGATATTTTATGATTTTGGATATATGGATAGTTAGAAAATTTATTTGTTTAAAAACGTGGTACAGTGCACCCTACCCGTTAATCTTTTTCATATTTTTATCACATTCTTCTTCTAGTATGCCTGTAAGAGATTTAGACCGCCTTTAGTTTTTTTTTCCACAATATTTTTTGGTATAATTATCTTTCCTTGACGTACTATAAAGAGTATTGTACTGTGCATTAGATGTTCAATATTGTGGAACAACCTAACATATTTTTTCATCATTGGCATGCAAAAATGAAACTCTATACGCTTCAAAGTTATTGGCATTCTTATTATATTCAAATTTAATGCGTCAATTAATACTTACGACCATTAAACTTTAGACGAAATTTACGTTACACCAAATTATATCAATTGCATGTATTGACACGTAACCGTAAGTTTGCGTACGCTCTTGTACGCACGCGTTTCATCAGCAGATGAAAAAAATAGACGTGCAGTATTGTTACACATGAAAATGAAATATTATATACAGTAATTCTCAAGAAGATTTTATTTATATAATATCAACATATTATATTATACATAATTTACATTATAAGCACTAATATTTATAATTGGCATAAGGAATAGCAATTCAATACACCTAATAATACCGTGTGATAATGGCGAAAGAGAATCCATCATTTCCTTCCGTAAGAGACGACTAATGGAAACGTTAAAAAGATCCCGTTTGTTTGTTTATTGATTCTGACTTAATGCCAGACGTAAAAACAAACTAATTATAGGGAATAGCGTAAGTTTCAAGACATCTGGTCTGCGATCGCCAATTTACCTGCTAAACGTATCTTTTACGGGCTATTGAAGAAATAGTGCTACGAATTAGTAGAAGAATCAGATGATCTATACAAAGAACAAACAATCACACATTTTACTATATATACTTTCTGACATCACGCGTTTCAGTTCTAATTAACATACGTGTTTGTCCGCTGGCCACTGCGTTATATTCTTCCGGTGAATGCTGCACAATGAGGTCGATCCGCTCCTGTAGGCTCAGTAGAAACAGCACCGCTTCTTCCCGTGTCACGCCCTTCATTTCCATGTCGTTTACCTGACAAATAATAAACATTCATATTAAAAAAAAATTTAACAGTATTCTGGCCGTTCAAACTTCTGGAGGAGATCACTTTTAGAATAGTACAGAGCGTAATATTAATTGTGTTTCTATGTCGGAAAGATTCTAACACAATATTTAAAAAATCGGTTTAGTGACTATTTGGAAGTTCTTTCAGAGCCTAATAATTAGACGGGATGAAAGAATTCGTAAAAATTAAATTTTATTTTTTTGTTTTATCGAAAAACATAAACTCTCACGCCAGTTACCCAGACGGGTAGGCAGAGACTACGAAGTTCCATTTGTCACGATCCCGACACACCCCACTCATTTCTTTCACGTCACCTACGTTTACACGTTCGTCGGTTAAGGATACTCTTAATTTGGCCTATCTTCAATAAAGTACCAATCTGGTCGATAAACTTCCGTCTAGGTCTAGGCTGTCCCTTGCGAAATCTGCCACTCACTTCTGCAGCTTAAATTAAATTGTATTAAATAATTTGAAACTCCATCACACCCCGTACCTATTACTACTACATAGGAAAATGACGTTTGTACACGCGCAAATGAGTGTGTGAAATTTAGAAGGGTAGTGCGGCGGCGGGCGGCCGATGTTGAAACAGCGGGGCGGCGCGGGCGGGGCAGGTTGTAATACTAACAGTACAGAAATTCCAATCTTAGTGATTTATTATCGTAGGCCTGAAATACAAAATGATCGTATCGTAACGGAAATATTAATTGTAAGTAGTTACGTATTTATAGTAGAACAATGAAGTTCTAAGCATAATTATATCGTAGATGAGTAATAATAAAACTATGAATAAAAATAAATAATCCACACAAAACGATAGTATGATAACGCTGACTTAACGTATATACTTTATAGTGTAAAAATAGGTAAAGAGTTGCTCTTATTTCTTTCTTTGGAAACTGAAAGAAACTCCTGTCTAAAGATATGTCATTCCTATATATATATATATATATTATATAAATCATTCCTTGAAGTAGAAAAGCATCCAAATACAGCACAATATACCATCATAATGAAAACACAATTGTAGGTACCTATCTTTTAAATTGTAAAATTGTGTCTTTGCGTCAGGTTCGTCCGATTATGCGCGCGCCCTCGTTCAAGTGTCACTGTTGTCTACAACGAATTGCGGGGTGAGGTGCGGTATTTGAAATGAGTGCGGGGAGGTGAGTAGCCGTTCTGTAATTCTAATATGTATTATGGGACTGCATTAAATACATAACAATATTAAACATACTAACTTTAAGAATTTTATCGGCAGGCTGTAACCCCTGCAGTGCAGCGGGGCTCGTCGGCTGGACCCCGGACACGAAGACCCCGGATCGATTACCGCCGCAAAGACGCAGCCCGACTGAGCCCTCCTTTTGAAAGCTTATTAGTCGCGGCTCACTCCTGACAATCAACAAATATTTTGAGTTAATTAGGTACATTGGAACTAAGTATTGCAGTAACATCACTATTATCAAATCACTAGAACCATATTTATTATCATCATTTACAAGTCCACTGTTAAACAAAGGTCTCCCCTAGGAATGCTACAAAACACGGTCAGTTAGCTACCTGAATTCATCGATTTCCTGCATGTCCAACCAAGTCCTCACTCCACCTAGTGGGATGCCGTTCCACACTGCGCTTACCGGTACTTACTTACTTCATATACTTAACTTCCATAGGTGGTAGAGCCACGTTGCAGCTATATTATGGTTGTAGCACGAATGGGTCAGCTCGACCGGGGAAGGACCACGCTCTCACAGAATACCAGCGTAAAATAGCTCCCTAATGCTGCTGTGTTTCGTATGGTGAGTGTAGAGATCCGGAGACCTTTTTTACTGGAAACGAGGCATTCCATCTTAGTCCTCAGGGCTGACAACGCATCTGCGTTTTGATTCTTAATCGAGGATAAATGTAGATATCAATGGGCCACAGCAACAACTTACCAGCAGGTGGTCTGTGTGCTCGTTTTAAATCTTCTATAAAAAATACTTAACTTTCCAGTAGGAAGTTAATTATAATGGATCCAATTTTCTAACGCCCAAAATGGATAATATGTCTTCGATTCAAGGTCTCTAGAGTCGAATACTAAGATTTTTGAGAGATTATCTGTATATGTATAATTACACCTAGATATCTCGAGGACAAGTAATGATATTGACGTCGGACTGGATTCAATCGATGCACAACATCGATGCATTTAGAAGCTGATAAAGTTTTTATACACATCGGTCTAGCAGTTTTGTTGCTATGAATAAATATGTTATGAGTAAATTGAGTATAACTGAAGATATTGCACACTAACTGTTACACAATCTGTACTATATTCTCATACAGGTTTCCACTATGGTCATAGAATTTTTTTAATATGTTAAAATGATATTAATATTTTCTTATTTCATATTTCTATCTTTCATATTATTATTTCTATTGAGAAGTTTGTAGTATGGATCTCTCAGGTCACATTCTTTTAGGTGGTAAGATAATATACTACCTAGACGTTAATCTAGGTAGATATCACCTCGTACCTAATTTTGTCGCCAAGCATTGCGTACACTGCTCCGTTTTCCGGTCTAAATAGTATAGAAAGTCAATATAAATGAAGGTTGTGAGACATTCCATTTTAATCCTTAGAGGTGACGACGCAGACTAAAGCATTCTTTATACATTTATATTACAAGAATTAATTGACACTCACGGTGGTTTGTTCCTTTGATTTGTCATTCCATCTTCTTCGTACAGTTGTCGTCGACTAGAGTAATAATCTGAAAACAAAACATTATTTCTCTGTGTCAAATATGTACAGAGCAGCTTGGTGGCAAAAATATGTGCGGGTATGGTACCAAACAAAACAGGCTCCTAGGATAAAAAAGACGGCTCCGTAGCGCTAAACGTTTAGTTGTAGCGTAACGTTGCAAGGCTTCGAGTTCGACTCCCGCACGGAACAAGTGCTTGCGTAGTCTAAAAATCATATCTACGGGGCTCGATTTGTGCTCGTGCAGTTTATGTATGTCAACCACCTTCACAATACAAGAGAAAATCCTACTGAGGGGTAATGTTTCTTTAAAAACAATGTCTTTGTCGTTGACTGAAAATCCAGTGTTCTTGTTTTCATTACTTACTACATACATACTTAAACACTCACGCCTGTCACCCAGAGGGGTAGGCAGAGACTACGGACTTCCATTTGGCACGATCCTGACACACCTCTTTCGCCTCCTTTACATCCATATATCTACGCATACATGCTCGTCGGTTAAGGGTACTTCTAACGTGGCCCCTTTTCAAAATATCGCCAATTTGGTCGATAAACTTTTTTCTAGGGCGTCCCTTCCCGACTCGGCCGTTCACATCTGCCATATAAATTTGCTTTGTCACTCTTTCCTCATTCATTCTTTCTACATGACCAAACCACCGAAGCATTCCTTTCTTAATCCTGGTCACAACATCATCTTGCATACCACATTTATCTCTTATCACGCAATTTCTCACCCTGTCATTCAGATTCAACCCTAGCATACTCCTTAAAGACCGCATTTCTACAGCATTTATTCTACTTTCGTGCTTCTTCTGCCACACCCAGCTTTCACTACCATACATTAAAGTAGGGACCAACACAGCATTGTGAATTGCCATACGTGCCTTTTTTGACACATTTTGACTCTTCACAATAGAGTGCATGGCCCCATTTACTCTATTTCCCGCATTCACTCGTCGTTCTATGTCCCTATCATATCTACCATCCCTGCTAAATACACATCCCAAATACACAAACTCATCCACTTGCTCAATTAACTCTCCTTCTATTCTTATTTCACATACCGTTTTGCTTTTTTCTCTTTCAAAAACCATCACTTTCGTCTTACTTGCGTTCACTTTCATTTCAGGTATGTAAGGATCGTGACACTTGGCGATCTGTTCTCTCTGGCTACCCCGTTAGGGATTGTGCGTGAAGATAAGTAAGTAAGTAAGTAAGTACTTTCATTCCCCTTTCTTTTAATTCCCAGTTCATTAATGTAACCATCATTTGCAACTCAGCCGAAAACTTCTCCGCAATCATGCGCATGGAAAAGACTTGATCTGTACACCCCATTCCCTTTCTAAAACCCGCTTGCACATCCCAAATTTTTCCATCAGTTTCTTTCATAACTCTTTCAATTAACACCTTAGCATACAGTTTACCCATAATACTAAGCAAGCTGATACCACGGTAGTTTTTGCAGTCCTGCTGTGACCCTTTTCCTTTATATATTGGTACTATAACTGTTTTACACCAGTCATCCGGTACCCGTTTTAATTCCCAACATAAATTAAACAAGGTGTACAGCAGGCCTGCCACCACTCCCTCTCCAGCCCTTAGCATCTCGAGTGATACTCTATCATATCCAGCTGCCTTACCTGCTTTCATGTTTTTCATTGCTTTCATTATTTCATCTACACTTATCTCCATACCCCTTTCCACTTCTTTCGGAATTTCTAGTTCATTTAATTCAGACGACTCTTCACTCATAAACACGCTTTCAAAGTACTCCTTCCATCTGTTTAAATTCGAAGCTTCATCATTCAGAATACATCCATTCTCTTCTCTTATAGCATTCATTATAGGCTGTTTTGTATTTCCCCTGGCAGTTCCTACGAGTTTCCAGAACATTTTTATGTTAGCCTGGAAATTATCAGATATCCTTCTATCATTTTTATCCATTCTTTCTTTCTTTTTCCTTTCAACAACTTCTTTTACTCTCTTATTTAGACGTCTAAATTCTGCCTTTTTTCTTTCAATCTCATCATTCATACCAGAAGAATTACCAGCTTTGGTTGCTAGTAAATCTAACCATGCTTTCTTCTTTGATTCAACTTCCACCCGTACCTCATCATCCCACCACAACGTATTACTTTTCCTTTCATTTGTTCTCTTACTTACACCACATACTTCAGTGGCGGCATCCACCAAACCTTTCTTAATATTGTCCCACACAGTATTCAAGTCTAAATCATTCATACACAACTCATTCAAACATCTAATATTTCCTCTCATTCTACATTTATACTTCTCTTTCACATCTTCATCTTGTAACTTCTCTATTCTTATGCCGCCAACGCTTGAAAAGACCATTACATCGACATAAGACCAAGTAATGATCCGTCCCTACGTTGGACCCCCGGTAAACCCTTGTATCTACGACTGCGCTCCTCATTCTTTCATCCACAATTACGAAATCTATCATGCTTCTATCATCACCTCTTTCCCATGTATACATGTGAATCTTCTTATGACGAAAAAAAGTATTCATCACAAAAAGATTCTTTTCCACACATACGGTGAGGAGGTCTTCACCATTCTCATTTATACTTTCATCACCAAACGTTCCCAATATCCTTTCATAACCAGACCTCTTCACCCCAACCCTTCCATTAAAGTCTCCTAACATAATAATATTTTCATTTTCCTTACATTTTGTCAACACCATCCTTACCATGTCCCAAAACTGCTCTCGGATGTAAGTGGGCTTAGACATGTCTGGGGCGTACACCTCTAGCAGGAACAGTTTCTTTAAGCCCACTTTAATTCGTATCCATAGCAGCCTCGGGCTTACACATTCATACTCTTTCACACATTGACCCATTCTTTCTGAAAGGATGAAACCGACACCCTGGCATGCCCGTTCGGTCTCGTCTACGCCAGACCAATACGCGGTATACGTGCCATGTGCAGTGGCATCCTTCGTCGCCGGTTTTTCTCCCGGAGATTCTTCGCACCCCTGCCCCATTGAAGGGGCGCCGGGAACTCGGGGCCATTTCTTTTATTTTCTGAGTCATGGTGCGAACAAGGGGTGGTGGTAGATTTTACGCCGCTACCATACGGCGAGGAGCCGAGTCTATTTTTTTCGGCTTTGTCGCTCGTTTAGCACCACCCGGGGGACACGTGTAGGGTGGGCCTAAGGTTAGGTGGTCGAAACCTACGGACGCGAGCGACTCATCCTTATTACTCATTACTTATTTAATAAGTGAAAATCATTTTTCAATTTGTTTCTAAATGTTTATTGTTATTGGTTTTTATTTGGTTTTACTATCATTTAAATATTTTATGGGGGAAAGTTTCTGTAAGAAATTAAATCAGAAATGCATATTAATTGTGTAAGGACATCGGAGAGTTTTAGCGTCGTGTGATTAAGACATAAAACATAACACCACTCTTATGAGTAGCAGGACTTCTTTCCTGCCCGGGATTCCGATTTGGTAGGTGAGATGGTGGCTCTGACCTACTTTTCACTGAGCAGCAGTGCGTGTACCGCTGTGTCCTGCATAGAGAGGCAATAGAATAACAGGTTGTAAGTTATTCCATCTCAATACTCATAAGTGACAACGCATCATGAGCCTCCTCCATGAGCCTCCTTACGTCTCACTTCGAAACCGTGTCGGCTGTTCTCTACAAATCAAAGGAGCTCGCCTGCACTCGGCAAGTCGTTAGTCGGCCATGTCAGAATGTTCACCCTTTCAACTAAAGCACTTGCCCTGTATCAATTTGCCCAAGCTCGCGTTGGCTGAGGTTTAGTCAACATGTATTGCTACCTTTAATAAGACCAGCTTAGGTGTTTTTGATGACAGACTTAGCATACCATTGCGCATTCTGGCAAGAGCCCTAACTGGACATTGTTGTCTTAAAAAGCACATGTCCATCCTGGGACTAAAAAACTCAAAGATGTTTCGGTTCTGTTCCATGACGGAAGAAACGCCTCTACACATCCTAACTGATGGCGGACCCTTAATGAGCAAACGTAACACTGATCTGGGAAACTATGTACTCAGCCCAGAAGTGAAATTGCTGACAGCTAAGCAACTCCTTCTATTGATTGAAGATATATGCTTTAGCAGTGAACTATAACCATAGTAGCGAACACAATAGATCTTTTAGGTCGCAATGATACTGATCTCTTTCCCTAGACGTGCATAGCTACTCGCACATAATAAAAAATAGCATACCGTCACTGCGGGGAGGTGGGGGGGCGCGGCGGCTGGTCCACTTCGTTGCGTCGCTCGGCGCCACGCACAGGCGCCGCTACGTACACGTTCTGCCCGCCGCCGCCGCCGCCTACGTACGACAGAGACTCCGCCCCGTACGTGTGCGGCGACGCCTCTGCGGACCAACAGATACATACTTTCTTTTTTGTTTTGTATAAATAAGAGCACTCGAGCCCACAGTCTACCTGATTATTAGTGAATGGTGTTATCCATAGACACCTACATCTATTCATAATTAGACTAAGAATTTAAGGTGAACACTTCACCATTGGAAAAAGTCTCCGCTTATTACATCGTCACTATTAGACAAAGTATCTAGTTCTCATCACTAACCATGTATAACAAATATACAAAATTTGTCATACACAAAGTTCTATAATGTTAATAAACTAAGTTTGTATAAAAAGGGTTATTATAATATTAAGGAATTTATGGATGATAATAACCCTTGGGAAGGGTGATCGCCACCAAGCTATTATAATTTGCCTTGTGTTGTTAATTGTAAACATGATTGTAAGCTATTATTGGAAAAAAAAGTTAGTCCCGCTGGGTTTCCTGCTGGTTCTTCCCAGGACAGAGGTTTTTTTTTTGTGAACCAATGGTAAATGAAAAAAGTGACTTTCAATAAGTATTGTTATAATCTACATTGAAGTTTCTGTTCTGTTAAAAAGTTTCTGTTTCTGTTTCATGAAAAAGACAACAACATTAAGAATTACCGTTACCGTTAGAGGCTATTAAAAGTTCCCAGCTGAATATAGGCCTCCTCATATACTGTCTCTTAAGACCGATTTACACTTCGACAAGTACAGTAGCGAGTTAAGTTTGAACCTCGTTTGAACGGCAAAAAGCGAGTTAAGTAGCAAGTTAACGATAAAGTTGAACGGGATAGCCGGCCGAGCTATTTTGCGGCAAGTTAAGTGCGAAGTGCTGCCCTCCCGCGCGTCTCGCGCCACCCGCAACTAAACTCACCGTTTGTGTAAACGAGCGAGTTTAGTTCAGTGCATAAGTTGAGGGACGCAGCGTTTGCGCGCCAAAACGTACAATTGTATTTTTATAATGAAACTCGCCACAAAGTTTGTACGATACTGTTTATTGAATATTCATACGTTTTATATTGAGTTTTAATAATAAAATGGACGGAATATATCACGTATAAATTCGTACAGGAGTATTTAGAACACGAATGTTTATATAATAGTAGAAGTTCCAATTGTAAAATTAAACCTGCTCGAGATGCTGCACTCATAAAAATTCTTAAAAACTTCTTTAACAACAACCATTAATATTTCTCTGACTGGATCATTTAATTCTTGACGTAATCCTAGAACCATCTTAAACGAAAACCAGAAAAATTCTGTAGTCTTGAAACGTCATACTCCAACGAACTCTATGAACTAATGTACACCTGTTCGCCAAGCGAGCGCGCGCCATGTTATACTCCCGTTCACTCGGGACCTTTTTGGCGGGAAAATTTGTAAGTTAGCAAATTGTTTGCTATATTGCAAATTTTGCTATATTTTCACTTTGAGACAATATTTATGGATAAAACTTACAGGAATTCTTGTTGAATGTATAAACTATCGAATAAAATTATTTTTGGTTGCTAGAAATTGTAATAAAATACGTAAATTACCCTGTATAGCACAGTAGTAGTATGTACTTCAATTTTAGTGACAAAATTACTACTAATTTGAATTCTACACTTTTGTTTTTGGAGAAATTTATATCAAATTGTTTGGAAATATGTATATTTTTATGTTTTATGTGTTTCCATTCGTTACTCATACCAAAATATTAAAAAATTAAAAAATTAAAAAAAAAAATAATATTTTATCTCTATGACATTTCGAACAATATTTCTAAAATATGTTTGTGTGAATTTGAAATAAATACAACGTCATGTTATTTGAAATATATACGAAAACTATTTTTACTTACATTTTACACTAAAAATAAATGAGAATTTGAAAAATAACACATTTATAACTCACCTGCCAAAACGGGCTTTCCGGAATTTGAAGTACTTTTGGCAATTTACTTTTCACTTTTTTATACCACAAATTACATATCTACGTGTTTACTATATTACAAGGAATATAAAAAAGTATAATACTTTCGTTTTTAGTCCAGACACAAATATAAAATTCTATAAAAAAGACGGAGCACCTTCATCGAAGTGACACGTGGAACGCCGGAAGTTCAGAGTGATTTCTTTCTTTTTTTTCTAAGAAACATTGCCAGGTTATGGTTTAAAATAAAAGAGCATATCTTTGTCTTTGATACTAATATCTATTGCATAGTGTCTTTGGTTTTGTTTAAAACGAAAAAATAGTTTTTTCATAGGTAGACATGTTTACATAATTCTGATCTAATTCGATCACTACTTGGCGGGCGTAAGGTTGGTATTGCGCGATCGAAGGTGAGCATGGCTTGGTTAACAGGTTAAATAAACTCGCCACGAAGAAATTGTTTGAACGCTACTGCCCACTTAACCGTTTACTGTCAACTGCCCTGTAACTAAACTCGCTACTGTACTTGTCGAAGTGTAAATCGGTCTTTAGGGATTTTCCCTTTGCTGTAGTAGTCACGCTTAGCAAGCGGGTTGACAACCGCAGTTTTATATTTTTAGTTGTTATTAGGAAGACGAGCTGCACATCTCTTGGTTTCTTGCCCTCTGTCGCCTCTTAGGACACCCACAGCTAGATATGGGGTAGTCGATATTCTTACAATACCACTACACGTGCATATTCACGTTCAGATAATTTTTTTAAGAAATTGGAAAACTATTAAAAAGTCCTTGCTTCGGTCAGGTCTAGTATCGAATTTTCCCTATTTCGTCAAGTCAACATCTTTTCGAATGATTGAATAAATATAATATAGAAGTCCAGGAGATTGACCGTGACTAAGTACCCAATGTATTAGTACTGTAGTGCCCGTCGAGGAGTATACATAGAAATCTCTCCATTAAGAGGATACCTTGAAAATGAATCGTAGTTTTGGGGCGTGGCTTATTCCTCTGTCGGTGAAGCTCACGGACGACTGAGGGGGTGTCAAAATGAAAGTCATGCAATGATTTCATATTACGCAAATTATGAGATAGCCAGACCGAGCACACGCTCGGAAAAAACTAATACTGAAAAAACTGTAATTTTTTCTATCGAGAAAATTGCATGATATCGTGTTTTTCTTTTTTCTTTTTACGCAATCCAAGGTCATATAGCGAAAAATCATATACCAAAATTTTTGTTTGTATATATAAAACTTAAAGATATATGTGAAATAGAAAAACTACAAAAATTTTGAGGTATCATCTTGTGGATGCGAGTGGCTCCGGACTGTTTTATGTGGCAATCAATAAAAAAAATCTATGTTCACCATTGGATTTGATGTACAACATTGACTCAGATTAATTATAACAATGATAGAATAAAATAAGAATCAATTCTCATGAGTTCGAACTACGTAACAACAATGAAACATTCTTACCTAGACTGTTGTAATTATTCTGATAATTTCCATTGGTCACAGTCTCCTCCCTGATCAACTCCCTTGTGACGACCAGGTTTAGCCGGTCCTTGCAGGACTCGACCAGTTTCTTCGCTTCTTTCAGTGTCATGGCGTCTGTCACCGGTGTGTTGTTGATCCGAGTAACCACATCACCTTCGCAAAGACCCTGGCCTGCTTGATTCAGTTGTTCTCTTGCCCTCATTGTGAGCTCTTTGACATATAATTTGCATCCTAAGACTATTCCGAAATCTGAAATAACGGTGAAATGGTATGAGGTGGTATGGTAATAGTATAATGGTAATCATTAATTAATACGGATGATAGGCGGATTATGAGTTAATATGTATAGCTATAAAATAATAAAGAATAACAACATAATACACCATAACTACGCATATATATTTGCACATATTTTAGAACGCCTGTAGATTTACAGATTCTAAAATTGAGCATCTTCCAAAATAGTGCGCGTACACGCGTACTTCCATAAATTAATATTATACAAAATTTTGAATCACAAAAACATTTATTATGTGAACTTTTTTAATTCCAAAGAAATTCGTTTCGTATGGTGAGTGTATAGAACCGATGACGTTTTTTACTGGAAACGAAGCATTCCATCTTAGACCTCAACGATGACAACGCATCTGCATTTTGATTCTTAATTGAGGATAAATGTAGATCTGACACGCAACAGCATCCACTTACTATCAGGTGCACAATGTTTTTCACTTTTATTCTAAAAAAAGAACCAAATTCACAAACCTGATGGACACACACTAGGTTTTAAGACCACCATTTTAGAAAGAAAAATTAACATAGGTAAATGTAATTATTTTAAAATTTATTTGATTTTTGTATATTTGATTTAAAAAAAAAGTATTCATTTTATTTAATAAAGTTCTGTCCGTATAATTCTAGTCACTTATAATAAAATTATAAATCATTGCTTTCAAGCTCTTTTCAAATGACTAGTTCACGGCGAGTGGGTAAATACTGAGACGAATGCGGGCGGGAACTTCGGTGTGATGTAAAACGCACCCATTGCATTGTTGCATTACAGTGTACTAAGTGACGGCCAGTCAATTATATGCGCCAAATGCACTCGGGCACAGAATACTTATAAGTACAAGGTTACTCCAGGGTTAGACTAAGGCCAGTACGGCAGCAGTGCGATTGTATAACCCTGGTAGGAATTGTGATAGGCTTCATTTTGATGTTTGAGGTTTATCAAAAGATGACGACGACGAATGATTTTCGCATTCCATTATATTAAAGATGTTAAAAATTATTTTGCTAAGATAGTTACGCATAATAAACAAAACCGATGTTTGAAGAGCACCTCCCGCAAAGGGCGGAAAGTACGAGATCTTAAGTTCGAGGTTTGGTTTCGTTGTATACTGGTTAACATAATAACAGTTTATATGGAGAAGACGTGCAGAACTTTTATATGTACTGGATGATTATTTTTACCGTCTAAAAAAAAGGATGTTACATGTGAACGGAGTATAAGCCTATGGCACTGACGTTTTATAAAAAAATAAAAACAAAAATTTTGAATTAAACATTTGAAAAAGTGATTTTGAACAATTACTTTGCCCTTTGCCCTTGAACCTGTGACCCTGCGAAGTGACAAGGTCAAAGATGCCTACAAAATTTATTGTTTTATTGCCGTTCGTAAAGTAGGGTGGATATGATTTGAATTTCGATAGATTTTAATTAACTTATTTATTTAATTCAAGTTTTCTTTTGTAAAATATCAGTGCTGCTTCTACTCCGTTCACATGTCATACCCTATTTTTTTCCAGACAGCAAAAAAGGTCGTCCAGTGTAAATGTATCAGTATAAAATTTAAGCCGATTTCTTCTTTATAAATTATATTATTTAGGTTATAAAATATTTTCGTATGAAGAAACATAACGCAGATTCCCACTAGAGTAACACTTTCGTACTGCCAAACTTAATTGGACTCTAAGATCACACTCTGCTAGTGCTTACCTTCTTTCTTTCCATTCCTCGTGAGGGAAAGTTTTATGGTAGTAGGAGCAGTAGGTGGTGGGGCTGGCGCTCGTCTCCGCACCACTAACGAAACGGCAGCTCCTGAATCTCGCAGCACTTGCACCGCCCGTGCATATTCCACATTTTCTAAGGGTACCCCGTTTACCGACACTATTCGATCGTTTACTCTGGAAAAAAAAGAAATTAAGTAAAAACAGTGACACCTAGCAAATTATATTTTTAAAGGAGGTCGTGACTAACCATCGTAATAATGGCCTTCTTTCATCTTTGACACTACTTCCTGTCGCTCGTCTTTGACATTTAGCATAGTCACCTCTTACGTTTTTTTTTTCATTCAGACATTCTCCGGTCGATACGACCCATTCGTGCTACAACTATACTACTAATATAGCTGAAGCATGGTTCTATCACGTATAAACATAACCCACAGAACGAAATGGGGTAAAGTCGCTACCACCAGCGCATTAACCACCATAAAGGTATCATCACAAGGTCAGCGCTTATAAGTTCGAAATTTTGATCCTACAACAATAATATCATATTCTTGGGGGGACATGTTGACTTCCGTGATTTTTAAGCAGAATATCATAGAAGAATATCAGGGATTTAATTATTCTATTCAATGTGTTAGCGGACTTCAGAATGTGAAATTATTTAATTCTTTATAATTATTTGAAAATGGTTAATTTTTTTAACCCTTTGAGTGCACTAAGCAATATCACAAAGTCAATGTCGTCTAAGTAGCCTTGTCCCCAGAATCGACACGTATGTATGTAACGTGTTACCTTAACACGTTACAATCCTATTATTACATTTCTTCTCCATGCGCATGATCGCGGAGAAGTTTTTGGCCAAAAACCAAAAGGTTTTTTGTGCGTTCATGGACTTGGAGAAGGCCTATGACAGAGTGGATAGGAATGTGCTATGGCAGACACTGAACTCATTTGGGTTGAGCGCTGGCTTGATACAGGCATTGGAATCTCTTTATAGGGACTCTAGTGCTTGTGTTAGGATCAACGGGGTCTACTCGGACTGGTTTGGCATCCATAAAGGTGTCAGACAGGGCTGTGTGGCTTCCCCGTGGTTGTTCAACCTATTTATGGACAGTTGTTTGCAAAATTTGAAAGTTGAAGAATGCGGATTAAGAATGGGTGAGTTAACCATCAAATGCCTTTTGTACGCCGATGATCAAGTTATTCTTGCGTCGTCGGCGGCTGAGTTGCAAATGATGGTTACATTAATGAACAGATCATTAAAAGAAAGGGGTATGAAAGTGAACGCAAGTAAGACAAAAATTATGGTTTTTGAAAGAGATGAAAGTAAAACGATATGTGAAATAAGAATAGAAGGGGAGTTGATCGAGCAAGTAGATGAGTTTGTGTATTTGGGTTGCGTATTTAGCAGGGATGGGAGATATGATAAGGATATAGAACGACGAGTGAACGCAGGAAACAGAGTAAATGGAGCCCTGCACTCTATTGTGAAGAGTCAAAATGTGTCAAAAAAGGCACGTATGGCAATTCACAATGCTGTGTTGGTCCCTACTTTAACGTATGGTAGTGAAAGTTGGGTATGGCAGAAGAAGCACGAGAGTAGAATAAATGCAGTAGAAATGCGGTCGTTAAGGAGTATGTTAGGGCTGAATCTGAATGACAGGGTGAAAAATTGTGTGATAAGAGAAGAGTGTGGTTTGCAAGATGATGTTGTGACCAGGATTAAGAAAGGAATGCTTCGGTGGTTTGGTCATGTGGAAAGAATGGATGAGGAAAGAGTGACAAAGAAAATTTATGTTGCAGAAGTGAATGGCAGAGTCGGAAAGGGACGTTCTAGGCGAAAATTTATCGACCAAATTGGCGATTTATTGAAAACGGGCCAAATTAGGAGTACCCTTAACCGACGAGCATGCATGCGTAGGTGTATGGATGTGAAGGAGGCGAGAGAGGTGTGTCAGGATCGTGCCAAATGGAAGTCTGTAGTCTCTGCCTACCCCTCTGGGTGACAGGCGTGAGTGTTTATGTTATTACATTTATTTTTGTACATTTTATGCAACTTATTGATCATCATAGTATTTACTATGTTGATCAATAAGTTGTCGGAATAGGACACTTGTCAATGATTTATAGAACTGCGTTCTATTTTTTTTCGAATTTTAAATTCTTTCAGATGCATGGACCTAGAAAAAAGGGGGGACGCCGTCTCCTTAATACAATTACTGACGCACCCATAGTAAGTCAGTTTACTAATACAAACAAGCCGGCACGCACACATGCTGCATATGCTCCAATCCGCGCTCGCGTAGTTACTCACACATAGTTAAACGGCCGCCATTGCGGTGCGTCAATTGTTTGTTAGCGAGACTCTGTCCGCCCTTTTTTCTAGGTCCATATTCAGATGTCAATATTTTTCTAGATTCTTTAATTCGGCTAAAAAAAACTAAATTAAAAATATACCCAATTTTTTTTAGTAATTTGGCGGGAAAGTGATTCTTATTTAATATGCATAATGGAAAAACTGGAACTTCGTGCGGTTATTAAATACTACTGCATGAAAAAAAATCTGCAAAAAGTGTGGTTGAAGAACTGCAGCCTATTTTGTCAGACAATGCTTCGTCTTATTCTACAATGGCATACTGGTGCGCTGAATTTAAACGCGGCACAACCGCCTGTAATGTTGACACTCGCTCCGGTCCAACAACGGCTACGCAAGAAATTCTAAAGCTGGCGTTTGGGACAATTCAGTTTCGTTTGGGACAGTTCCTTTTCGAATTCAAAAAGGTGACCGCGCGCTGAATTCCTCGAATATTAACTGACGCCGAAGAGAAAGCAAGTGTTAACATTTCAAAGACAAATTTAGCAATAATTGAAGAAGATCCAGATTATTTTTGCACCCGTTTCGTAATCAAAACAAGGTGTGGCAAAGAACGTGTTCCCCGCAAGCCAAGGGATTCAAGGTGTCTGCGCCCTCTGGAAAAATAATGACCTCTGTCTTCTTTCAAAAAACTACGCGAACAACTGAAAAATAAACGTCGAGGAAAATTACGTGCTGAAGTGCTTTTTCGTCATGATAATGCCCTGCCCATTGATCCGATGTTGCAGGCGCTGTCATCCGAATTGTTGACTTTCAGTTGATGCAACACACACCATATTCTCCGGGCCTTAGCTCTGAGTGATTTCCACCTTTTTACTCGCCTGAAAAAGCACTTGGGTGGTATAAAATTCGACCGCGACGATGAGGTGATATGTGCTGTAGAGGGCTTTTCCAATCCCAGGATCAAGCCCCTTTTTCCAAGGGAATTAACCAACTTGCAAAACGCTATTCAAGGTTTATTAGCTTAAAACCGATAACTTTGAAAAATAAATACAATTTAATTACACTTATCCTAGAGTTTCATTGCGTTCAAAAAACTTATTGACCAACCTAGTATAATTAATGAAAAGCACGAAAAGTGATTAATAAAAGATTACAAACTGTAGCTTGTCTTCAGCGGGTCCGCCTCGAAGTACATCGGACACCGCAATAGAAGGGTCCCCGCTGGCGAAATGAGGATTGTCCCGACCGCCCGACACTGCGATACCGAATCCATAGCCCGGCACTCTGTTTAGACGCACCCTGTGTGTCTCCCAACCTGCGCTCCGTTCAGCCGTCTGAAATAAAAAGGGAATACTTACATTTCTTTTCTTATCTAATCTAATAATGTTATTATATGTTTATAAAATATGGAACCGTGGTAGGTCAGGCGCTGGGCGCGCGCTTTGGATTGCAAAATAAGCGACACAAGTGTTCGATCCCCGCTTTCACATATGGATTTATTTTTGTAGGATAAAGGTGACAAACGAGCACACAGTCCACCTGATGGTAAGTGGTTACTGCGGCCCATAGACATCATCTATCGATTACGAATCAAAATGCAGATGCGTCGTCCCGTGAGGACCAAGATGGAATGCCTCGTTTCCAGCAAAAATGGTCTCCGGTTCTCTACACTCACCATACGAAACACATCAGCGTTAAGCTGCTATTTTACGCTGGTATACTGTGAGAGCGTGGGCCTTCCTCGGTCGAGTACGGACATTTTTAAGAATCAAAATACATTGTATTAAAACTCATTAATTTTCACTACAATCTGACAGCTGAACCGTACCCGCATTGGGGAAAATTTGCCGTATTAGCTAACACTCAGCAGCCAGATAGCATTGAACTGGTTATTATAAAAACAATAAGTTATAGACATATAGTTGCTCCACCACCGTGCCTAATCCATTAGTATTTATAAACTACGAACCATAAAAAAATCTGACGCCGCTTCATCTTTGAATCACATTAACAATACAAATATACAAAATCTCTTTTTCCACCTTCCAAAAAAACACACAAACAAACAACTTGAATCAATTTTTTGGATATTCACTAGAAAGGAACAACGTCACTCTCAATACATCATTCAATAATGCCTTATCCTACCGCCGGAGACAGCTCAACTGTTACCATGTTCTCTACAAGGAATATATTGTAAAGCGCATTTCATCGACCGTCCAACACAATGCCTTGTAAGCCGATATGCAATCCTGTTACCACTAATACATTCATAACGTTGTGACGCGTAGCGTAAGGCATTAATGCAGTTATGATCACTTAGAGCATGTACTTACGAGTACATTATACATATACCTATTTGATTAAAGCATATGAAACAAAGATCGGTTTATCATTATTACCGGACGATATCATTCCAACAAAATTATACTTCTCGTCAAGTATACCTCAAAACTTGAAAACGAGATTGTACAATCAGTGCGTGTTGCCAGTGATGACTTATGGATCTGAGACGTGGTCCTTCACTGCTGGCCGCTCAGCGAGCTATAGAGAGTGCTGTGCTTGGGGTTTCTCTGTGTGATAGACTCAGAAATAAGGATATCCGCAGTAGAACCAGAGTGACCGACATAGCCCAACGGATTAGCAAGCTGAAGTGGTAATGGGCCGCCCATATAGCTCGAAGAACCGACAACCGATGGCGAAAAAAGATTCTCGAGTGGCAGCCTCGTACCGGTAGGCTGAGTATGGGGCGACCCTATATTATTATTATCATTATTATGATCTACATGTATTAATAATTCGTACAGTAAATAGGTATGTAGCAACTAAGCACTCACGGGGTGCTTTATGCTTTGCTCAAATAACATTGATATTCCAAGGTAAGCTTGGAACGCCAATGTGACGATAAGATAACATAGGAAGACTGAAGATTTTTATAAATTTCACATGGTTCTAGATTTATGTTGATTTTAAAGACCATGTCATAGAAGTCTCAAAAACTGCTAGTTATTATTAAAAATATAAGTTGTAAAATATTTAGTGTATAATATTAACTAGTTGATACCCGCTTGTTTTGGTGGGTGCACTATAATAGACGATAATAACGTAGATATAAAATATCAAGAACTATTCTTATCCGATACAATGTAAGTAAAATTGACATCCTATAATACTACTCCATTCCACAGTTGGGAATAGGCCTCCTCCCATTTTTGAGAGGCTTTTATAGCAAGGAAGTCTGCTGCGACGCCCCAATACGTGTTGAGTTGACTTACTTAACACGTTCTCGAAATTTATTTATGTTTTAATATTCACAGACATGCAGGTTTCTTCACAACGTTTTTCTTTACCACTGATCAGTGATCACATGGCAAATAATTACTTAAAACTGCAAGTAACAATTTCATTGATGACGACAGGGACTGGTTGCTCGCATACAATGAAATTTAAAGGCGTGCGCTTTATTACTAACTACCAGGCTTAATTACGAAAGTTAATTTTATGTATGCTGTTAAAGGACACAGTGGTAATTTTTAAAAACATTTTAACGTTATGCAATTCTATAAGGCAAACACAAAAACACTCAACAAAAATTAAAGAAATATAGAATAAGTAGGTGAGGGTAATATGATCACCTAAAACTGCGGCCCTATAAACCAAAACTACGAGGAGGATAGAGACAAAAACACAAAGTCTTATACTATAACTAATATACTAAGAAAACAAAAACATCAGGAACACTTCGAAAAATCAACTTAAAAATACTAACTACTATACAATACTAAAATCAATAATAATTTTTAATTTTTTCAAATATAATTTTTATACGTGGTAGAGCCATGCTGCAGTTAGTAGCGTAATGCTGCTGTGTGTCGTATGGTGAGTGTAGAGAACTGGAGACCCTTTTTACTGGAAAGGAGGCATTCCATCTTAGTTCTCACGGGTGACAACGCATCTGCATATTAATTCGTAATCGAAGATAGATGTAAGTAGATGTCTATGGGCCACAGCAATCACTTACCATCAGGTAGACTGTGTGCTCGTTTGTCACCCTATCCTATAAAAAAGACAGATTTAAATCAGCATTAAAATAAGGAAACTAATGCTAGTGTCTGTCAAAAGTGGAATCTTTGGTTATAGTCATTATGCGACCGGATAAAAGAATTTAAATAAACGTTACGTAATCGACGAACATTTTGATATAAGCGAGACGCAAAGTTCAAGCCGGTGCGATGACTAATACTATCATTGAAAGATAGTAAATAAGTCCTCATTTGAGCCACTACCCGACGAGCCCGAAGCCGATAAGGATGAAATTTAAATCGTTGAAAGAAATGTCAATGACCGGCAACTGCTGCATATACCGATTTCAAATCCAAGTTGAGAATAGCATAATAAAAGTAGCATTTACTTTGATGGTCTATTGTACAACTTTCAATTGTATTTACAATTGGATATTTGATTCTTTCTAACTTATTATTTAAAACCGGTTATATTGAGGTTAAGAGTCATCAAATGTTCGTGTAAGTAACCTTTTAGACGGAAATGTAAGTTTATCAATTATTTTGATGTTAAATAGTTATCATGCCGATTCAACTTTTAACTATCTAAATAAATACGATGACTACTAGAAAGTGTAAACTATGACGTCGTTTATAAATATTCCCGTACAATTTCTATATAATTTAATAGTTATTCCCGTACAATTTCTATATAATTGAATAATACTTTATTGGTGGTGATTGTTTACCGGCAATAAAGTATTACCATTCCGTGACTAGCGCTCCGCCCCGGCCTCGAACGGGTAATTTCTGGATCTCGACAACAGCACCACCTACCGGACCCAAATGTAAATCCAAGCCATCTAGGGAACCTAATCAAACACAGACAAAACATTTCATCAAAATCGGCTCGAGCCGATTTTGAGTTTTAGCGAGACTATCGGACGGCAATTGATTTATACTTCGATCAACAATACCAACTGTTGATCGAAGGATTTATATAAATAGAGAGTACCTAGATGACCATATATATATTTTTTGGAAATCGTGTGTTTTGGAAATTATATTTAGATACAAGTTACATACTGATGAAATATGAATAATATTTTTTGATCTTACCGACATAATAGAAAAAACTAAACTGGTTATTTGAATAAAAAAACCGTGTTTAAAAAAAATACTAAAAAAGGGCTCGAAATAATAGATTTGCTCACAAAAGAAGGTAACTTGAAAAAAATAAAGGAAAAAAAAGTCGGACCGAAGACAGTACTCGAAACCAGGGTACTACGATTTCAGGACCGCCCGATATCCCATTTGAGGTATTTTAACCACTAACAGATTATCAAAATTCACCTTCTTATTTTGTAGCACTTTTTCAATGCCTGAAAACACGGACAAAACGACATTATATATATATATATATATATATATATATATATATATATATATATATATATATATACAAAAATTGCTCGTTTAAAAGTATTAGGTATATTAGAGTGTCGTTTTCACACCACGAATAAATTATTAAAATGACATGAGTGTCGACCATCGTATTGCAGAGCACTGCAGCAGTGCAGTGAAATGTTCCCTACTCAATGTCAGAAAAGGAGAAATATCCGACAGTAGAACGTACTATTCGTAGATGTCGTTGAATTTCACGTTAAGATATACTAGTGACCTTTTTTACCGTCTGAAAGAAATAGGGTGTAACATGTGAACGGAGTAGAAGCCTATGACACTGATATTTTACAAAAAATAAAAATTTGAATTAAATGTGATTTTTTTTAACAATTACTTTGCCCTTTGCCCTTGAGCCTGTCACCCTGCGAATTGACAGGGTCAAAGATGCCTACTAAATTTATTCTTTTATTGCCGTTCATAAAGTAGGGTGGATATGATTTGAATTTCGATACATTTTAATTAATTTATTTATTTAATTCAAAAATTTTGTTTTTAATTTTGTAAAACATCAGTGCCGTAGGCTTCTACTCCGTTCACATGTTTCACCCTATTTTTGTCCAGAGGGTAAAAAAGGTCATCTAGTATGATCGATTGTAGCCGCCTTGAATAGTAGTAATATCGGAATTAAAAAATAGTAAACGAATGTAAAGATTCTTATAGCATTCGACATAATGTTAAGTATCCACCTCGAAAATTACCTTTTTAACAAAAATATTCAGACCGGGAAGTAGTAGATAAAGTGTAAGACGAGTGTACCGCGTTGTCAACTCATCTGTAAATCGTAATGTTATTATTACAATTTATCATATCAATTGAAAATCACGCTGTTACTATCTACTGCTCCATATATGTAGTTCCCTATGTGTACTAGCTGGCCAGGCACATTGTCTTTTAAAAAATTTAAATTCGCAATAAAAAATATTGAGGGTCCTATTATTGGGATAAAACTATCCTACCTCTCAAGTTAGAGCAAGCAATACACATTAACAAAAAAATTCATTAAAATCGATTGAGTGGTTTCGGAGTTCATTGCGGACAAGCAATGTGACATATAATTTTTATGTATAAAGATACATGAGCGGCGTTGGATAGGTTATATCTATTGACCACTAAAGTTTTAATTTAAATAATATCTGATGACACAAAGTTCCCTCGCTCCGATTTCCAATGTCGATGATATTAAACGGTCCTTGAGTCATGTTTCAATTATTCAAGTATCGGAATAAAAAGAACTTGAAACCCGTTCAACGAGCCAAGGAATGTATTCAATAGGTGCCAATCGTTACCTTGGTTACTAATGCATGATGGTATTGCTTGTGTGATTTGAATGTACCGCGTATGATTACGGTAGGGTTTCCACTTTTTATTTTTATTTAGACAAACGAGCACACAGTCCACTTGATGGTAAGTGGATGCTGTGGCCCATGGACATCTACATTTATCCACGATAAAGAAACAAAACGCGGATGCGTTGTCACCCCTGAGAACTAAGATGGAGTGCCCCGTT